ATAAAATGCTTGCGAAGCTTGGTTCCGGATTGAAAACTGTTCAGATGCACTGTTCAGAAAACTGTTCAGAGGCTACACTGCCCCTTCCTCTGCAGAAGTGGTTACACATTGGTGCTGCATTTGATCTCCCTCCCTCTTTCTCTCTCTCTCTCTCTCTCTCTCTCTCTCTTTCACACACACACACACACACACACACACACACACACACACTCCCCTCCTGTGTGCAGGACAGACCTGTCCCTCTCCCTGTTCTGATAGACCTCTGGGGACTGTGTTTGGCTGGTCTGGTCCCTGTTGATGGGCAGATGTCTGTAGAGATCCTCTGCCACTCATTTTCCATGCATCTTAATATCTCCACTGGGACAGTTCAGTGCCTTTCCTTCTAATAGTGGGTATAGCAGGTGAGTGTTTGCAGTACCCTGTACTCCTGTACTCCGCTGTATAGAAATGGTGTTCTCTACTGTCCTATTCTAAACATAGCTGGTCTTATAATCTTAGTAGGACTTGGCCAGTCTGGGTATTAATTGTTAAAATAAAAAATACATATTTTATTTTATGTGTATGGATGTTTTGCCCGTATGTCTGTGTGCCCCGTGGGTGCCTGGTGCCTGTGAATGCCAGAGGGAATATCCAAGCCCTGGAGCTTGAGTTCTGAGGGTTGAGAACTGCCATGTGGGTGCTGAGAATCAAACCGTGGTCCTTTGGAAGGACACAGAGCCTGTGCTCTTAGCTGCTGAGGCATCTCTCCATCCCCTGCTTTGGTAGGTTGTTTTAGTACTGCCTCTAGCGGAGACTGGGCCCCTTAGATCTCTGGACTCAACTGCATTGTCTGCCTCCCAACCCTTTCCTCCTTCCTAGTCCTGTAAATTGCTGGGTCTTAATTTGATAATTTCTGCATGGAATCATAGCTTTACTATGACCTCCAGACTCCTCCACACTCTGGGGCTTTACAGGGTCAGAGTTCCTGTTAGGGGCGTGGGGGCCCCTGACATTCTAGATTCTGTCCTGTGCTATCCACCCAGGCAAGGTTATCATTGGTGAGACTGTCAGCTGCCTGCAGCGCTCCAGGCCACACTTGGGAAGCTAAGCATGAGGCTTCTTACTTCTTCTGGCAGGCTTGTGCCTTCCCAGCTTGGGAAGGAGAGAGTGTCTCAGGTCCCTGGTCCAAAGAACTGGGTGTGTCTCCAAGCCTCTCCTTTTCTCTTCTTCTCCTACCCCTCCCTCCCTCCTCCTCCTCCTTTTCTTTCTTCCCGTCAGAATGCAGAGACAGGAAGGCATCATAATGCCCCCTCCCACTCCCCTCTGGGTTTCTTGCTGTGATTGCCTACACAGACTTTCCCTATTTACAGAGAAGCTTCTAAAGATCTAAATCACCAGTAACAACTAAAAGCGTCTTAAAATTGCTGGCAAAACCTAGGAACTTTGTGAGTAAAGATAAAGCAGTGTACTCAGCGAGTATCGGTTGTAGGCCAAGTCTGCTGTCTGAGAAGTGATGAGGCAGAGCAAGGAGGGGCCGAGGCTCTAGAGTGCTGCTCAGTGAATTGTGATCACGCACTGACCTGTGCACATGCTGTCCAGGTTCCAGCGACGTTAACTGTTCTGAAACGACTGTTTTGGCCAATTTCCCCCGGAGAACATGAGGCCCTCATGCATGTAGAAATGTGAATATGTGCACGTCTGTGGTACTCAGTACTCAAGGACTTTGGCCTCAGTGTCTGAGACAGACTTGCCATAACCTCTCTTGTTGGCACCATGTGGTAATGGTCACGTTCAGCATTCCTGTGGCATCTCTTTGTTCTTCAACAACTCCTGTATTGGCTGGGATCAGATTCCGTGCCTGCCAGTCTTCTCAGAGGCGTCCCATTTCTTTGGTGGCATCATGCACTAAGGGAGGTCCAGGCATGGAACCATTGGCATGGCTGATGGCACTCTCTTCTCAGATCATCGTTGGTGGGTGGAGACTCCTCTCAGAGTCTCGGCAACACGGGACCTGGGCAGCTTTGGACAGCGTGGGAGGTAGCTATCTGTTCAGCTCTGGTGCCATCTTCCCACAGGCAGGCCTAGAGACCCCTCGCTGTCCAGGTGCAATGCTGACCCCTGCTTAGCCTGGCATTTGTTAATTTATAGTATTTGAGAAAATCGCATGGAACAGTTGCTCAGTAAACTCAAGCATGAAGTTAGATCTAAATAGTGGCTGTGTTTTCAGAGTGGACTCCATGGAGCTGTGGGACATGGTGCGAGCATCTTAGGGTCTGTGAAGTCTCCTGAGTGCCCTGTGGGAGGCAAGGCCGTTGTCTTTCTGGGCACCCCAGCACGAAACAGACATGGATCAAATCTTCTGGCTGTCGGCTCTGAAAATAGGCATTGGAGACCCTCAGAAGTAGTCACCAGAGGCTTGATTCACATTTGATTTTAGTTAGCACCGCAGACGGTTTATTTTGCAGCCATTACCTTAAAACACATTTACTTAGAATTTCTCAGTGTGGGTGCTTCTGGGCAAATGTCAGCAGCTGCAACTGATCTGCACAAAGGATTTTTGTTTGTTTGTTTTGTTGTTGTTTTTTTTTTATAGCTTTGGTTATTTCCAGATATTAAGGGGGCCTGAAATGGAGCTGTTTGAGACCTATGGTGTTTTGGAAAAGTTTTTTTTTAATTAATTTTTATTCTTTGAAAGTTTTACTTATACAATGGACATTGATCATATCCCTCTTCTGCGACCTCCTTCCAGCTCCCCCTAGAACCCCAACCCGTTACCATCCAGATTTCATGCTCTCTTTTTCATTGCTATTAATATATCCAGATCTAATCAGCGCTGCCTATATATGCACAGGTGTGAGGCCATCAACTGCAGTATGATCAACCCATCTGCAGCCGTGTCCCCAAAGGAGAGTGACCTTCTCCCTATACACCTATTAACAACCAATATCTCCCTGCGTAGGGGAGCAGCCCCTGACCCATTTGAGCTGGGATTTTGACGAGCTTCACCTTATGCGGAGAGCCGTAGCTACCGTTAGTTGATCTGGATGTGGCATGACTATTGCAGACAGCTCTCAGCTCTCGTCCCCATTCTGTGGCTCTTACATTCTTTCTCCCCTGTCTTCTGTGAGCCTTGGCCGGTGGAGGTTGACAGAGATGACCTACCCACAGCCGAACACTGAGTTTGTTATTTTTACTCAGCTCTTTGACCAGTATGAGCCTCTGCACTAACCACTACCCGCTGTAAAAGGAAGCATCTTTGACCAAAGTTGAGAGAAGCCCAAGTCTATGGTATAAACATAAATATTTAGAATACAGTACAGTTTGATAGTATGGCCGTTAGGAAAACAGTGACAGCAAGGCGCGGGCCTGTGGTTTCTGCAGTCATGGGCTTTTGACCATGTATAGAATGCCAGGCATGAATTCCCTCCCGTGGAGTGGCCCTCATATCCAGTCAGAAAGTGGTTGGCCAGCTCATAACCATTGTGCCACTATTGCACTAGTGGGTACGCCTGGCCAGTGAGTCAGTATTGTAGCGTGTGCCTCCAGCACTGGGGAGGCCTTGGTGTTTTTCCCCCCCAGCAGCCTGCGTACCTCCTTATGGCACTGTGTAAGATGGCCAGCAGGGGGCGTTTTCCTGGTTGAGGTTGATTTTTCCGTCCTGCATCCGAAGGGATTTGGGCAACAATAAGGTCTTACCATTGAGTTAGTGTGGGCAGAGAATTTCTCCTGGTGTGAATTGTTTCTGGGTGCCTCTGGGGCCTCTCTGGCCAATAACTCATAGAGCGCTGTTCAGTACTCAGCACCGAGATTTTCATTTAATAACCCTTGACATCTGAAAGCTTGTTGTCCACCCATGCAGGATTTGTTCAGATCCTTTAAAATACGTGTTAAATATTTTTAAGTTCGTTTAGAAACTGTTGGATTTCTTCACATATTCTTGGTTTTTCTAGCCCACCCCCTACCTATCCTTTCCTTAATCTCTGTATCCTCACTTAAACCCTTAATCCTGAGTATTTTCCCTTCTCTCCCTTCTTGGTTCATGTCACCTGTGTTCTACTACCCCTTCTAATTGGCTTGCTTTTTAACAAATTTTCTAAGTGTGTTGGGAAGGATGCCATGATCTCTCTCTCTCTCCCTCTCTCTCTCTCTCTCTCTGTGTGTGTGTGTGCGTGTATGTGTATTTAGAAGGCAATTTGCAGGAGTCAGTTCCCTCCTTTTATTGTGTGGGTCCTATTGTGGATTTGTCAGCACGTTGGTCTAATGTACGACTGGCTCTCTTCACCCTCCTGAAATCTGCTTAGCCTTTTTTTGGCCCAGGGTGGCTTCCCCTTCCCAAGGGGCTGTCCATGCCACCTTCATGGTGCTCAATGAATGATCCCTCTCAGAGTTAGTGCTATGGCAGCATTAACAGTCTTAACATTCACAATCAAACTGAAATTCTTTCCAAGCTAAGATTTTTGAGCATCACGTGACACACTCAGAAACTTCAGAAACTCGAAGCTTTTAGATTGGGTATGCTCAGCCAGCAAAATCTGTGCTAGCATTTCTGAATCTGACAAAAAAAAAAAAAAAAAAAAAAAAAAAAAAAAAAAAAAGAAAAAAAGAAAAAAGTAAAAACAGAAAGATCTGAGGTGCTTCTGCCTTCTAACAGTTCAGATATGGGAGACTCAGCATGCATCCTTCACTTCTTAATATAAATGCAGAAAGTGTGCTCTAGGGTGGGAGGCTCAGAGCTGCAGGGACATTTATATGGACCATGGATGAGGTGTGTGTGGGGGGAACTGTTAAGTTAAGCAGATGAGGGGGCACATTCCTAACAGATGGCTGTACTCCCAGACCCTGAGGGTCCAGGTAAGTGTTGGCTAAGTGGAGAAGGTGGGAAAGATAGACAGTCCCAGTAGAAAGAGGTGAGGGTCCATGATGGGAAGCATCCTTATGAACCCTGGCTGCTGGAGGCCACACCCAAACATGCTCACCAGCAGCCACTCTGTCAATGATCTTGTGCTGTGCTTTCCCCAAAGGAGAACCACTGTCGCCGCATCAAGATCCTTGGAGACTGCTATTACTGTGTGTCGGGCCTCACCCAGCCCAAGACTGATCACGCCCACTGCTGTGTGGAGATGGGGCTTGACATGATCGATACCATCACGTAAGTGTTGCACCGTTACAAGGTCTGTCCAGGGCTGCAGAGGCTGAGACAGCAGTCAGAGGGGGCTGGGTCACCCACAGTCACCACAGTGACTGACCCACCCAGACTGAGAAGTGATACTTTGGTGACCCCTACTCACAGTCTATGATGTGTTACTCTGTCTGCAGAAATCCTTCATGTACCTAGTGGGCCTGAGCTATGAGAAAAGAAGCATCTTTGTAACTGAGTTTGGTGAGGCTAGGAGGAGGGCTGAGGGCACAAGCCCATTGGAAGGCCAGTGGGTGTTCTTTCAGGCAGCTGATTGCTTCTGCTGCTCTGTGGGGAGAGAGGGCTGAAGTCTGGGTGGAGTGGGTTGTCCTGCGAGACCCAGCCTACCTTTTCCTGGTCAACCTCTGCTGTCCTTGTTAGAGATGGAGATGGAGTACAGGTGTGGGGCTGGAGGCTGACTGATGGATGAAGGTACGTTCAAATCCAGACATCTCAGCCTGTAGTGGCTGCTCATTTCCATGAGATGTGTTTTCAGGGGTTGGTGTGAAGGTCATGCTTAGAGCGGAGAGTGCTGGCATAAAAGTTGTGTGAGGAAGGTGTGGTACAGCGGCTGCTGGGTGCAAGAATGCACACAGACCTTCCACACAGTTGGAGCTTTGAAACAGGTGTAAGGAGGGAGCCAGCATTATGATTGCCCTGAACACCAACATTAACGCTGTACGGAATAGCTCTCCACGGTTGCTTCTGCCGAAAGCCCCCTGGGACCTGATCTGGGCTCCACTCTATGAGTGAGAGTGAAAAAGCTCCTCGGTACCCACAGTGAATCCCTGGATGCAAGAGCTGCTGCCATGGGAAGAGGCGGCTGGTAGGAGTGGTCTGCTGAGAAAGGCTAAGGGAGAGTGGGGAAGATCCCTGCCCACGGCTACCTTTTGTTCCCCAGAGGGACATTACATCATCATGGGTCACACGTCACACCAAAGCACTGTCGTAGGGCAGGAGAGATGGCTCAGTGGGTAAGAGAACTGACTCTTTCTCCAGAGGACCTGGGTTTGATTTCTAGCACCCACGTGGTGGCCCGCAACAGTCAGAAACTCCAGTTCCAGGGGCTCTGACACCTGTTCTCTTCTGGCTTTCAAGGCACTGCATGCATGTGGCCCGCAGACATAACATGCAGGCAAAACACCCGTACATATATAATAAAAATAAATCAAACACTTATAAAAATCATTATTGCATCTCATACATCCTATGTGGCAGCATTCAACATATCTGCCATGTCACCTATCCTGTCACACAATTGCCACCCCTCATCTGTATCTTGTATCACATCCTATACCATCTAATGATATTTTACATCCAACCACATGTCATATTTTATCATGCGTGTATCAGTGTATTGTGCCATATATTATGGCAGGTATCGAACATGACACATGACATAACAGTCAGTGACACCATATCGTTGCTGACTCCAAGTATGCTAATTTGCTGTTCAACAGGAGCCCAGCGAATCCAGGGCAGGCTCTTGGGGTAAGGACAATAGATAGTCTGCAAAGCCAGCCAAACCAAGAGGAGGTCAGACTTGCATCCCGGAAGACCATATCCATCTAGTCTTCAGGCCCTTTTTCTTTTTAGGCAAGGGTTTAAATTAGGAAACAACTGATGAATTGAAGTATACTGTCTATCTGTGTGTGAAATTATCCTAATGGAGCCCATTGACTTTACACTTATATGCACTAATAACAAACGGGAAAAAGGGAGAAACAGTTGATGAAAACGGGTGGCTGGTGAGCCATAGATTTGACATACATTCACATGGGTGGCTCCACTTCGTGTCACTAGTTACGGCCTTGAGATTGGTGAGGCAGGGTGGGTGCGCCAGCTGGCTGGGCTGACCAGGCGGCTCACAGTGGCTTTGTGTCCTGCAGGCGGGAGGCCCCTTCCTGCCCCTTCTCCCTGGCAGCTCTACTTTTCACCTGGTCTCTTCATGGTCAGGAGCCTTATTTTTCACACGGGGCTCAGGCCTTCCTTCCCCTCTAGTCTCTCTTGTGAGACTGGCATGCGCCTGGCTTCTAAGGCATTGCTGTGGCGTACCCTTTCTGGTTGCTACCCAGGAAATGTCATATCTGCCTGCTGAGGCTGAGCCTGCATCTTGCCCGCCCTGCCTAGCTTGCTCTGCTTCTCTTCACTGTTCTGCCAGTATTTCAGCTCAAACTCTTCAACTCTGTGTGTCTGGCCTGGTGAGGCCACGGGGCTAGGCAGCCTTTTCCTAGCCTACATGATTGCTTTCCACTCCATCTGAAAGTCCTACAGCCTCAAGATTATACAGTCCTAGAGTCTTTATGTGGCCCGAATTTCTGTCTCTGGACTGGAAGGAAAAAGCAGCTGAGTTCTTCCAAGAGACTCCTAACAGTTTTTCTTCCTGTGGGAATTGCACAGAGCCAGAGATGGTTCAGCCTTGGCTGGTCTCTGAATCTCCCAGGAAGGTTCCATATGGCAACTGGCACCTTCCTTGCTGGCCAGACCAGCCCGTGTTTGTCCCTATTTCAGAGGGGTGTACAGAAGCACACAAGACAGAACATTTTATCAAGAGGACCTGCGTGTCCAGGCAAAGCAGGTTAGCCATGTGGTTTTGTTTCTTGACCTTGGAGTAGAGCGACTGGGAACTTTGGAAACTCTGTGATTCATGGGGAGAATGAGTGACGCACTGGAGCTCATGCATGTGCTGAGTGCCATGCTGGGCCTTGTGCCCTATGCTCCAATGCGGGGGCAGTGCTTGTGCCCCTAGCTGTACCCTCCTTCTGTCTGGAGCCATCTGGACCAGGAATGTCTCCCAGTATCTAGAGGAAGCCAGAGGGCTTCAATGGTTTGGATTCCGTTGGTTCTGAAATGACCTCGTTTTTCAAAAGATCCCTGAGTGATGGACAGTGTGCCCCAGTGACTTGTAAATAGCTGAAACGGTGGGCCAGAACTGCCCATTTTCAGGGCCCACCGCTCTTCTGTAGGTTTGAGATTTCTGACTGGTCAGAGAGCTCTCTGGGACACAGAGACCAGCATGGTTATTGGGATTCTGGAACCATTTCCTGCATGTCTCTTGGATGCGTGGTGCAATGATGAAGGGTGGTTGCCAGGCCACACTCTCCTGACCCTGCTGGGTTGGTGCTCGGTGGTCAGCTGTGTGCTGGCAGCAACTGCACCAGGACGACTGGCTGTTGAAAGCATGGCAGGCCGTTTCCACACTTGTGCATATAGGATGGGCTAGTGCTTTATAAGAACCAGAGCAAGCGATGCCGCTCCAGGTGCAGGCGCAGCTGGAACACTGTCGGACTGGCCCTGATTTCTCCCCAGGCGGGAGGCGCTGAGACCCTTTCCTCATCAACAACGGTGTGACAGCCTGGTTATTTTACTTCCTAGACTGTTCATTCCTGTGGGGAAAATAGACAAAAACGTTTGTTTTTCTTTTCTCACCTTTAAACCCAGACCACCTATGCCTGTTTCCTTTTCCTTGATTGGCTCAGAGCTCAAGGGCATCGTTTGTCCAAGTCTGCAATCACAGACAGCTCTGGAGTGAACCCCAGGGGGACATTGAGGTACCCTAAACTGTAGAGCATTTGTGTGCCTTGCCTTTACTTCCCTACAATGCAAGAAATGGGTTTTAGGACCATCTCCTCGGCTGTTGTGCCAGGGCTGGCAGGGCAGGTTCCTCCTGCATCCTTAGGGTGAGGCCACCCCTGGCTGTATTTTGGTGGACCTCTTAAGGACTTCTATGCTGCTCAGCCCTCAGAGTAACGCCTCCTGACCTCTGTTCCCAGATGCCCATGAAGGCAGGCTTCTGGGACAGAGATCTCTGGAACTTTTCTCCTGGTGGTGAAGTGGTTGAGGCCTTTCCTCACTCTTCCTATGTGAACTCTGCCTCCTCCTTTTTCTTCTTATACCCCTTCCCCTCCATTTTTTCTGAGTGATCCCAGGACCTCTGGTTGCAGAGGATGTGGAGGAGCTGGCGGGTTCCTGTTTTGCAGCCTGGGTGAGCTTCATTTTCCTCGAATGCGTCATCCTTTGTCTGTGAATGGAGAAATGGTGGTTGTGAGGAAGGACCGAATGTCTCTCAGATGCAGTGGCTGAGTGGGAGGATTTCAGCAGCCTCTGCAGGGGATGATTCACCAGCTCCAGACAGAAGGAGCCATCCCCAAAAGAGGGAGGCCCTCTGCTGAAGGATTTTCCCAGGAATTCCCTCTGCCGTGCTGTCCATGGCCCTGTGCATGTCTGTGCACGTCACAGGGAAGCCCCTGTTGGCACAAGTGAGGTGGGAACGGTGACCTCATTATTCTTCCACATGCCCTCCAAGTGCACAAAGCACTTTTTCTACATAGATTTTATCTAGCGATGCCCTTGCTCCTGAGCTGTGCATCTCTCAACTGCTATGCTGAATTAACTTAACACGAAATGCACGGGTTTCCCCCAGCAGCCTGATGAGGACAGCCTGTGCCATTGGTAAGTCATTGGTGGATGCCGTGATCGTGAGGCTGAAGTTCTTTTACTCAGGTCCCTCTTCCTTAAGCTGGCTGTGTGTAAGCCCTGACACATGTCACAGTCGGTCAGTATAGACTAGCCATGAGTATTACTTTGTCTAATTACTGGATTCTGAGTTTTTGAGTCAGCCTTGTGGATATGGTTAAGATGGAGTCTCCTCTGGAGTGGAGGATGCTGTGAATCCTCCACTTACCGCAAAGAATCTGTCATAATGTTTAGGGGACCTGGGGATCCTAAGCCTGTATATTATAGCTGACCAATGCATTCTTATAGATAGTGAAGCTAAGACCCTGGAGGGGAAGCTAGGAGCCCATGTGTCCAGGGCACATGTTTGTACATATTGGGTTAAAAGTGTTTGCTACATTCTTCTGTCATGGTAGGATGGAGGTTGGGGGCTGCCTCAGGCAAGTGTGTTATCATTGCTTCTGGACAATTCTGCCTAGGAGTGCCCATTCCTCCCTTTTATTTTATTTTATTTTTCTGTTGTGTGCACAGCTGTATCCATAGTGCTTGGAAGCCTGGCTGAGGGAAGTAAGCTCAATAGGCTCTTGTTGAACAGAACACAGATCCGTCATTTCATCTTTGCTCTAGGTTTTATGTCGGCCAGAATCTATTTGTACCAAGAGGGCAGAAGGGTCCTGTGCCTCAGGGTTGGCCGCTTCCTATTGAGATCCAGCACCAAAGGTCAGGATCAGGGCTGCATTGTTCCTTCCTGGAAAATACTTGTGATATATAAGAAGCTCTGAGAGCATAGATAAGAAAGAAATGTAGGATGAATAAAGCAGAAAGGTTATGGAAACCCTGGTTTCCTGGAAACAAAGGGAAAGGTTTTGTTGGATTTGGGCAGAAGGTGCCTGAGTTTAAGGGAGCCAAACAGAGCCACAGCCCAACATCTGGATATGCTGTTTCTTTAGAAGACTCTCTCTCTGGGGTGCTAGCCTTGACATACCAGAGATGGAAGCTGCCAGGAAAGAGTGTGTGTTGGCAGAAAGTGTTGGATGCCAGACGTGTGGGGCCCTGTGGGCTTTGGAAGATCTCAAATGGCTGGTTTAGAAGGCATAATGGAGCTTGTGGACATATGTGGGCAGGGCAAATGATCTCCCAGGTTGCCTTGCCTTTTACGGCTGCAGAAACAGAAATGCTGAATGTGCTCCAGAACAGGAAGGGCAGGTGTCTTCAGGAACATTGCTCATGTAGGTTTTGAAATTCAAATTTTATCTTTAGGGTTTTGTTTCAGTGTCTCGTACTGGAGATTGGCAGACAACCGGGGATAAAGTTAGAATTTTAAAAGTTTATTCAAAATGTATAAGACAAAATGGCTCTTAAAGGCAGCAATAGTCTGATTATCACATGCACTTCAGAGGTTACTGAAACTGATTATGTACTAGGAATTCAGGATCCTGCCCTTGGCCTGCGTCTGGCATCTTGCCTGCCCAAGCACAGAGGCAAGGGCTGTCCTGTTAGGAACACATCTCAAGGGAGTGCGGATATGCATTGTGGGTGTCCCAGGTGGGAACAGGGCGGGCAATTTGTAAATAGAAATCAGGGTGAGGGTAAGCCATGTGCAGGGCAGGATCAATACATATATGCTGTTTTAGTCCTGAAAATGTGACCTGCAGAGCCCGCTCAGATGACACCGAAGGGCAGAGGGTGGGGCAGGCTGAGGCATGCTGAAGGCTGCAGTTTGCATTATCCTCACACACCTTCTGTGTCATGGGACTGGCTGACCTTCACAGAGTCCTTCATGGAGCATTTCTTGGTGTTCTCTATTAGTGGAATTGAAAAAGCTGGCAGGAGGTGGTTTACATTTCCTGTGTTGAGGTGCACTGAGGTAGCTCTGAAGAAATCCCCGAGGTTGTGAGAGCTAATATAGGAAGAGCCCGCTCACATGCCAGGGCATGGAGTTTCAGGGAGCAGGGAGTTTCAGTAGGACATCCTCAGTTGGTCAGATTGGCTGGGACACCCCAGTCCTTATTTCCCTCTGCATCTGCTCTGCCTTCAACCTTTTTCCCAGAATTGCTTCCTGGGAGAGAAGACCTGCATTGAGGTCCTGGACTCATTTGCCTTTGGGGGACTTCTCTGAGTAGGGAGGGGCGGGAGGGCTCACAGGACCAGTTGCACATTGATGTGACTGACTTTTACTTCACAGGTGGGCAGAGACGTGCTGCTGTCCTCTCAGCAGACCTCCATGTACCTGTCACATTGCAACCCATGCGGCCTGTTCCCCTGTGCTCCTGGCCTCACTGCCAGCCCATGGCATCTGTTGAAGGAGCTGTAGGCAGTGTCCGCCCCATGCCCTCTACCTGTGTTACAGGTCCGTGGCTGAGGCTACTGAAGTAGACCTGAACATGCGTGTGGGGCTACACACCGGCAGGGTCCTCTGTGGCGTCCTGGGCCTGCGCAAGTGGCAGTACGATGTGTGGTCTAATGATGTGACCCTGGCCAATGTCATGGAGGCTGCTGGCTTACCAGGGTAAGTCGGAGTCTGGCTGGAAGGTGGCTGGAGCTCTCATTTCAGGCCTTTATCCTGAGGGCACTTTGGGTAGGTTCTGCTTTGACCCTCCAGGGGACGCAGCTGAGATCCAGTGCTCATCTGCAGGAAACCAGCATGGATCTGACCAGCTGTGCATGGGGACATTGTCCTGGTACACAGGCTATTGTCGTGTCTTGTTATTCCTGTGGTTTATTTTCTCAAAGCTGTGCATGGGAAACTCCATGACTTTAGAGCCTCGCTCCTGAATGCCGGTTTTCTCCCTCTTCCTTCATGCCCTGCCCACTTGCCCCATCTCCCAGCCAGCTGCAGAGTTTGAACATGAACTCAAAGCTTTCCCCTACAGGAAGCTCAGAAGTGCAGGGAAGAGCTGGCCTGGCAGAGGTGGCTTGAAATTCTGTGAGTCAGAGAAGCAGGGGTGGGTCGAGATTCCCATGTCATTCCTGCTGTCCTCTGCCCTCTTCCCTCTGCCCACCAGCATCCTTGACCTTCAGCTTCTCATTGGCCCGGCTGTGAAATTTGCCTTTTTCTTTTTCCACTCTAGTTGTTTTGTTCTCATTTTCTCCATTAGAAAATGAGTTTATTTCTCTCCTTTGGGTTTCTTGGTGATCCTTCATCCTTCATGGCCTTCACCAACCCTATTCTGCCTTCTTGGGTGTGTACCCCTTCACTTGGCTGGCCTGGGACTTCCTGTTCTCCCTTCCCAGGTTACCTGTGCATCAGAACATGAGTGTGTACACCTCAGTAATCTTGCCCTTAGCAGAATGACCTCTGTTGTGACTCCAGTGAGTGCATCACCCAGGACCCTGTGCAGCCGCACTTGTGAGTTCACACTCACCTCTGTGCTCTTCTCTCGTAGGAAGGTTCACATCACAAAGACGACCCTCGCATGCTTGAATGGGGACTATGAAGTAGAGCCAGGTCATGGCCACGAGAGGAACACCTTTCTGAGAACCCACAACATTGAGACCTTCTTTATCGTGCCATCCCATCGGAGAAAGGTGGGCAGCCGGTCCCCTGAGCCAGCCATTTAACAGCCAGGAGGAGACCTGTGAAAGAGAAGAGTTGGTAGGAAGTCTGGAGTTAGAAATCCAGGGAAGACTGGGCCACTCTGGGTCCTTCGTCCTTTTTGAGGCCCTTCACTCCTTTACACAGTAGCCATGAGCTTCCTGCAAGGGGTCAGGGATCAGACCTTTGTCAACTTACGGATGCCTTGCAACAGGGAGCTCTGACCATCCTATGTTGGATGCTTCAGGTCCCCCTGCCAGGAGAAAGATGAGGTAGTTAGGATTGAGGGTGACAGGGCTTCCAGGGCTCAGGTTCAAGCTGATTGGATGGTATGGACTAAGGGTACTGACTGAGGTGAGGGTAGGCTCAAGTGACTGTGCTTACTCAGGTAACTGCTGGCTCAGCGAGGATGGTGGGTTGGCGAGGGGTGTGTTCTTAGGTGAGGATCCGGGCTCAGGTCGAGGGTGTGTGCTCAGGCGAGGGTGTGAGCTGAGGTGAGGATCAGGGCTCAGGTGAGGGTATAAGCTGAGGTTGAGGGTGCGTGCCTTGATTGAACATGCTGGTTCAGGAGAAGGTGTTGGTTCACATGGGTCACAGGCCCCGTTGAGGATACAGGCTCAGGTTGAAAGTAGGACATGTGTTTATGTTTTGGTGTGTGTATGTGTGTATGTTTGCTACATGTTCATGTTTATGTTGATGTGTGCTGGGTTGCATACATGTATATGTATGTGAGAGTATATATGTACATGGGAATGGAGGTTGAGTTCAAATTGGTTGTCTTCCTGGATCACTCTTCACCTTATTTTTTTAGTTGGATAGAGTTTTAATATTTAATATTCATGTGTGCATATAATGTATTTGGATCAAATACACCCCATATTTCCTCTCCCTCAATGCCTTCCTTATCTCCTCCAACCTGTTCAAGACAGAGCCCTATCCCCTTACCTAGCTCTAAATGTCTGCTTCTTTGGAGCCCCTTTATTTGCCTTAAACAGATGTGGGGTGTAGAGTTTGGGGGGACCAGCCCCTCATTGGGGACACAACACTGGGATATGAGGAAGAACCTCCAGGCTGGAAGTGGCCCTGCTGGAATGTCCAGCAGTTACTTCTGCCCAGCTCTTGGCCAGCGCCTTCTTGAGCTTTAGAGCTGCAGTGGTCAGCATGAGAGACTGTCACTGTTGTGGGACAGCACTCATCTGACTGTCACGGAGGAGCAGGGAGGACATGGGGTCTGTAGTGGCAGGGCTGGCCGGGGCAGGCCAGCTGCCTCCTGAGTGGGCTGAGCGTGGAGGGAGATTCTGATGAGAGCCAGGTTCCTGAGGGTAGCTTGGGATATCTGGGAGAAAGTAGTAAGTGTAGGAATGTATCCCCCGGCGGCAGGTTCTGCACCAGCCACTTGGCGTGAGTGTGCAAGGGTGAGGGAATTTGAAGGGCCAGCCATTTAGAAGAGGCTCAGAGATAGTTGAGAGGCCTAGAGTACTGAGACAGAAAGAGTCTAGTTACCTCAGGTGGATGCCGCTTCTAGGCTGGGTCACATAGCTACAGCTTTGAGATCGTGTGGTTTTAGTGTGTATGTGTGTGTGTGTGTGTGTGTGTGTGTGTGTGTGTGTGTGTGTGTGTGGAGAGAGAGAGACAGAGGGAGAGAGAGAGAGAGAGAGGGCGGGGCTGTCAAAAGAGCACAACTTTATTTGGAGAACTTTGGTCATGGGAGGGGAGAAGGCAAATGGCAAAGACTAGGTGAGCGGTGGTCTGTTATGAAATTATGGCCACACTTGGAGAGGCCAGTGGAGGTGACTGGGAGGCGTGGTCATGTAGTTGAGGCAGGGGCAGGTGAAGAGGAGGCTGAGGGCACTTCACTATGCATCCTGGAGAAGACCTGGGGTCAGAGCTGCTGTGGGAGAGGCAGCTTCGGGGTCACTTTAGGGCGATGGATACCATTCAAGAATGAGTGACTCCCGATCCCTGCGGCTTTCTTTGGCTTTCCTTTCCATGTTGGCTCATTCGGTCTTAAGAAAGCCATGCAGTGAGCAGAGTCACCTGAGCACACACCCTCAACCTGAGCCTGGATCCTCACCTGAATACACACCCCTGGCCAACCCAGCCTCCTCACTAAAGCCATAGTGCATACCAGGGCCCAAGAGAGTCTCTAAGGCATGGGTCCCTCAGTTTTAACAGAGGTTTGCCCCAATCTCCTAGTGTTCTGCCTGTGGCTTCTGTTGTTTGAAGAGCAAAGCATGCTGGGACCAGAACAAGGAAGCTTTGAAATGAAGTTTACTCTGAGCCCTAGTAGTTATTTTCCTGGTTTGGAGTCTTCACTGCTGGCTACCTGGTCTGCAGTGGGTACAAAAACAAAAACAAAAACAAAAAACCCTAATTTCAGTGCTCTGGAGTTCCTGTCACTATTAAGGCCACATTTCCAGCCTGAGAGTCAAGATCTGCACCACTGATAACATTTTCCTGTACTCTTGTGTTTGGATAGATATTTCCAGGCTTGATTCTCTCGGATATCAAACCAGCCAAGAGGATGAAGTTCAAGACTGTCTGCTACCTGCTGGTGCAGCTCATGCACTGTCGGAAAATGTTCAAAGCTGAGATCCCCTTCTCCAATGTCATGACCTGTGAGGACGATGACAAGGTAGGAGTGGCCGAGGGTCTCAGGCACTGCCACCTCTCCTCAGTAGAGCACGCCCTGCTGTAAATACTGCTCAAGTACCTTACCTCGTATTGTGTGTCCTGCCACTTTTGGGGGCAGATGGCTTCCTTTGTTGATCCATCTCACCAGCCTAAGATTCTTATTTTATTTTAGTTTTACAGGTGGTATGCATGTCTGTATGGATGCACATGCATGGGGGGGGGTACATATGTGGACACACGCTGTGGAGGCCGAAGGTTGTTGATGTTGGGCATCTTCCTCAGTTGTTCTCCACGTCATTCTTGGAGGCAGGCTCTCCCAGAGGAACCCAGAGCTCACCCAGACTGCTAGTCTAAGTAGTCAACTAAAAGAATGCCCTGCCTCAGCCTGCCTAGCTCTGCCTAGCTGCCACGACCCCCTGGCTTTGACTTGAGTTTTGAGAGCTGTGTTTCATTCTTTACTCTTGCTGCTTGCCGGGCAGGTGGTTTAGTCCCAGAGCCTTCTCCTCAGCCCTCTCACTCAGGTTTTTAAGAAACAGTTTCTTGTCCCAGAAACATCTGTTTTCTCTAAGCAGCTTTTTAAAATTTTTTCCTGTTGGCTTATCTATTGTCATCTGTAACCCCAGCAGATGAGCAGAACTTTTTCAGCTTTGTTCTGGATGGAGAGGGATAGAAGAGCTGGCTCCAAGTGCCGAGGTGGGGATGGATCTCCAGTGTGGGCCTTCTTGTGGACGCCAGGATTTTCTGGACAAGTCAGGCACTCACTTGTGGGCCTTCAGATCTTCTGGCATATGGTAGTGGTGGGGTGGGGTGTTTCAGGCTTCAGTTCAACGACACAGGGCCAGAGACCCTGACTCTCTTCTTGGGAAGGCTCCACATTGTTTTCTATGGGAGGCACATCAGAGATCTTAGGGTGTACTTTAGGGCTCTGATGCCCCCTTGTGGATGGCTCTTGACCAGAGCCTCTGTATCCACTAATATTTGAGCCTGAAGGTGCCTGGCTTCCCTTTGCCTGCTCCGTCCAGCCCTCTGAGGTTACACCGAGGTTACCTTGTGTGTGTTGGCTCGACCCTGTTGCTCCCTTTTCCACCAATGTTTTCTCTGTCTTTATTGATTTCATACCTTTTATACCTTCCTGGTAAAGTTAGAGGTTTTTCAGCACAAAGCAAAGTTCTGTTGCCTCTTGTGTATGGTGGTTCCTTGCAACAAGGATTTGTGTATGTGAGTTCCTTTTTGCTAAAACTTTATCTGAGAATAATCTAAGAACTTCGTTCACGGTAGATGACATCAGGAAGAATTAGCCTTTATGTATGCCAGACAGCTGGAGGCTGCATTATGCTAAATTCTGTCACATGGTATACTGTCTGTATAATGTATGTATTATACAGCTGTAATATAGTATTATAATATATAAAATGTAATACAGAGATATAATAATCATGTATACAGGTGTATAATAATCAGTCACAGATAGTAGGAACTTTGGCACCAATCATGCAGACAGCACACACACACACACACACACACACACACACACACACACACACACACAGTGGTTGTCAGGGGGTCTGGTATTAATTGCCCTAGCAAGAATTTTTTCATCCTTAATCTCTATCACCTTCCATGTCTGTCAGGCTCCTCATCCCGTCCCCTGTCCTGGAGACATGTGATCACCCAGAACAATCTTAGCAGGAACTCTGGTCATGCTAGCCAGAGTACTTCTGCCCTCTGATGTCTCCTCTGAGTGGTTTCTGTCCGTGGAGCCCTCCTTTCTCCTTGACTGTGCTTTGCCACCTGCTGTGCTACTTTCAGAGTTGAATCCCAGAGCCTGTTGTCATGGCCCCTGCACCTTCTGCAAGGTCTTGGATGGAGCCTGTCCCACTCCAAGAACACTTGGTGTTCTACCAAGTGTCACTGAAGTAATGTCCTTTTAATAGCACTCCAACTCCCAGCCTGGGCTTGGACCCCAGTGCAGTGTCCCTCTCCCACCGTACTTGCGGTTTCTGCTCTAACCCTTGCAGCTGCTATTGTTAGTGCTCCAGGGATGAGTCCTGTTAGTGTAGCCCAACTCCCAAACACACACACAGCCATTCTATTTGGCCTTTGGATACTTTCCTGCCCACGAAGGCATTTGGTATGGGTGACATCCCCCAATACAAAAATGCACCAGAAAAGCATTTGTCATCAACCACCTCCAGACAAAGGCCTGGCACTTTGACCCTTTCAGTGTCCTAAGTGTGTGTGTGTGTGTGTGTGGAAGGTCTGGAGGTGCTTTAAGGATTTACATTATGTCATAGAAGCAATTTGGCTGTTCATTTCACCTTCTCCTGCCTCCGTGTGTCAGACAGGTGTGCTTACATCAGCAAATACCCATCAATTCCAGTGTTCCGACTTTGCAGATTGCTAACCTAAGGAAATGCTTATGTGGCATTGGTATTTGGGACTTTCCTGTTTTTATTAACTGAGGCAGCTGATGGCACTTTTGTTCACGAAAGCATATCTTAATTCCCGGGCATTCTGTAAAATATGTCTGGCACGTCATGGCCCTGTGAAAGCGGATGTGTCACTGCTCAGAGACTATGATGTCATCACCAGCCATGGCTCTTGGGGTCAGCCCAGGTAGCATGGAGGCCTCTTTTATTCTTGTTTTCTGATACTTGAAGCATATTTGTTCCCCTGTTCTACACCCAGAAACCTCCACATATTCTCTTTCTCCCTTTCTTCCTATTTCTCTCCCTCCCTCCCCCGCCCGCCTCACATGTGTTGTGCAGATTTAAATCTAAGCTTATTGATTTTAAGTAGCATAAAAGCCTCTTGTGTGCACAATATAGAAATCAAGTGGCCTGGGTTGCACCTCGTTTTCTGTTTCCTTTGGAAATCAGCTTGTGTGTGAAGCAGGTGGTAACCGTGAGCCGAGCATTTTCCACCCTGGAAGCTCTTTGGGCATTTGGCAGCCCACACAGTTCCAAGCCTTTTCTTTGTGGCTGAATGGCCTTCAGGTGTGGGCAGAGGCCTGACTTCTCAAGCAGCTTATCAGTAAGCCGGGAACTCATTTCTAGGTGTCACCATGTTCATGGGCGCTGGGCACGTCTATTCTCATGGGCATCTTAGCTAACAGTACAGGGATAGCCTGGACTTTCCCAAGAATGTCTGTCTGTGGTGTGTGTAAACCCTGACTTCTCCTGCCCCCGCAGTGTTGGACTTAGCAAGCATTGGAGGATTGCCAAGTGTGGTTGGACACTGTGTGTCTTTTTCCCTGTTTCCAGTCTGATCGCACCATGTCTGGGCTGTCTCTTGAGCTTTTTGTTTGAAAGTGGTGGCAGATGATTATCATCTATGAATTTGCTGAAGATAATGGTTTGTTTGGTCCACACTAATTGAAGCTGATAGCGGTGACTTTTCTAGTTATCTTGGATTTTCTTGGTCAGTAATAATATCTACTTTAAACAGAGCTGTTGCGCTTCTTTCTTATCTAATAATTAAGCCAGATGACAGAATTATTAAGTGTGGGCATGCTTTCTCATTCTGACTCTTGATGAAGATGTTTAGGATTTGACCATCCATTTTGATGCTTTGAGCTATGAATACTAGACTAGGAAGTGATCCCTGTAAGTTAGCATTTACATTTTTTTCTTTGCCTAAGAACTGGATAGTATATTTTAGGAAATACTTCTGAGTTTGGATTAAGGTAATCTGAGGGTTTTTGGCTCTGATATCGCTGATTACCTCAGGCTCCTTGGACCTTACCCAGTGCAGCAGGGTGCCATTTTGTTATGCAGGTTGAGGGAATAGGCTACCTTTAGAGTAATTGGGAAGTTCAGGATTCTTGGCAAATGGACTTTCTCGTGGTCTTTGGCTGCGGTTGTGTGGTTTTTTTCTGCTTTTCTGCATTCCCATTCTCAATCATTTGGCCCAAGAGGCAATATCTTTTCTCATGGCCCTTGCCAGTTTTCTCATGGCCTACACCCATTGACATTTCCAGCTGGGGGCTATTCTAGCTCCTGGCCTGGGATAGATATGACAAAAGATGACCCACGGGACCCCTTGTCACACATGGTTCCACTTTAAGTCCCAGTGTTCTGAGGGCCCACTCTCCCTTTCCACCTTTCATAGCCTTGTGTTTATTTTGTGTGGGTTGTCTGCATTTTACTGTTGGGCCATGGCGGAGAGGTCTGTTCATTCCGTCCTTTCTACAGCTGCACTGTGGTATCTTAGTAGTCTGTCTTCTGCTGGGTGTGGGGAGCATCAGAGTTGCTGCTGTGAATCCTTGATGAGGAGAGCGCAGCAGGTTCCTTCAGATTAGACTCTGGTTTCCTTTTCGCAAGCTGGTCCCTTCTTGCTCCTGTCATGTGGAAGAGGGGCTCACACTTCGCTCCTTTCAGCCCTGCTATCTGTCATTTCTCACCATACCTCCACCAAAGGCAAAGACTACCTGCCCTGGTAACAGATTTTTAGGCACCCCCTCCTACATATGTGGGCTCGTCCTAGTATCCCTTCCTTTCCTAGCCGTGGCTAGCGGCTGCTCATCCTGGGCATATTTGCCACTGAATCCCACAGCCATTTCCGCACTGATACCAAGCAGACATTCTGTAATTTGCAATGCAGACCTGGGAACCTGAATTCTGGGTGGTAGGACTCCTCCTTTGCCAGCTCTGGCCAGCAGGGGGCAGGGCTGTGACATCGTCTCAGAGTTCTGAACCTAGCCCAGAGGGCAGCAGGTGAGGATGGCTGCCTGGCCAGTGCCCATGAGTGCTTCTGTTCCAAAGCTGAAGCATTTGATGCTGTTTTCTCTGTTTCCGCGGTGGCTGCAGCGGAGGGCCTTGAGAACGGCCTCGGAGAAGCTCAGAAACCGCTCGTCTTTCTCTGCCAACGTGGTGTACACAACCCCGGGCACGCGTGTCAACAGGTACATCAGCCGTCTTCTTGAAGCCCGCCAGACAGAGCTGGAGATGGCCGATCTAAACTTCTTCACTCTGAAGTACAAACACGTCGAACGAGAGCAAAAAGTAAGTGACTCGGGACCTCATCCTTGTCACGTACCCAGGGACTCTGTGTCTTGGAGATGCCGATGGCTCTGAAGGATTGGTCAGTCTCCTCCCTCCCTCCCTGACCCATGCCTCTTCTGTCCTCACAGTACCACCAGCTTCAGGATGAGTACTTCACCAGCGCCGTTGTCCTCGCCCTCATCCTGGCTGCCTTATTTGGGCTTGTCTACCTTCTGATAATCCCACAGTAAGTGCTGCTCTGGTGCTAATCAGTGACGTGGGAAGGTGACTGAGAATTCCGGGTCTCTGGGAATACTGGCAATTTTTCTTGTCTCTGAGACTCAGTAGCTGACAGGAAACAGGTGAAGGGAACGAGGGTTGATTTAGGCTGACAGACTGAAGGTACAGTTCATCATGGAAGGGACAGCGTGGCTCCAGGAGAGACGTTCAGCTTTGGTGGGCGGTAGGAGCACTGGGCTGTGTGCCCACATCAGGGTGGAGCTAGAATTGAGGCTCATCCTCTGTGACTGACTTCCTCTCGTGAGGATCCACTTTCTAAAGGTTTGACAACCTTCACAAATAATGCCATTCTCTGGGGACCAAGTGTTCGAACCCCTTTCACTCTGAAACCAAATACTGAGGTTCAACCTGGGCGTTCTCATGTGCTCTCCATCCACCTCCCATTACCCTCCTGTTGTGCCTGGCCTTTGAGGAGGGCATTGGCCACCTGCCCTTTTTTCCTATGCGCTCCAGTTAGTAATTTGACAGGCCCGTTGGCAAACAGCATGGTCACTAGTTTTGAGCTTGCTGAACTTTGGGACGTTGGGTGTTTTTTGGCTTCTCCATTCCTATGACATGCACTGTTGTCCTGCGTGGGGCTTCTGAAGAGAACACAGGGCACTTCTGCTTTCCGGGTCCATGCCACTTTACAAAACACTAAAATGAGAAAAGGTAGACTCTGAAAAGGAAGAAAGTACAGTGAATTAATTGGCATTTAACCATCATGTGAGTCCGTGTAAGTGTGGCGCTTCTGTTTAGGACCAGGAAGACACCAGGAAGTCTCCAGCTGTCTTTCTCTTCCAGCACTCATTTCCTAGTATGGCCAATCTTGAGGGCATAATGTCTCCTCGGAGTTTCCGGAAAGCACACAGAGGTCTCTATCCTTGCTAAGGACAGGAAGCCTGTCTGTGGGCTGCAAGGCAACCTTGCACCTGGCGTTCTACCACATGGTCTTGTTTATAGTTTAGGCTTTTTCTAGAAACTTCTTTCCCAGACAGATATCAATAGTACAGCTCTGTGAAGCCAGACACTTCCTTCATTAGGAGGAAAGGCCTTCCAGAAAGTCATGTCACCTGAAGCCAAGGCTAAACTCTGGTATGAAGTAGTTTGGGTGGAGATGGGCTTGGGAACTTCACCCCGGAGGCCCCAGGTGCCCTCACTAGGGGAGAACCAGGTGAAGGAAGTCCTCAGGGACCTGTGGCAATGCTTCCTCCTGAGGTTCCGGGCATGGGAGCCAGGAGGAGAAGCCCAGCACTGAGGTACCTATCTGTTACATCTTACCTGGCCCTTACCCGGCAGTGACCTGTGTGTTCTCTGTCTCCAGGAGCGTGGCTGTCCTGCTGCTGCTGGTGTTTTCTATCTGCTTCTTGGTGGCCTGTACCCTGTACCTGCACATCACGCGGGTCCAGGTATGTTTGTGTGTCTTCTACAGGTGTCCAGGTATGTGAGCCTGTGTCCGAGACCATGTACCTGAGTATTCTCTGTGTAGTCGCATGGCAAAAGTGGTTCCATCCTTCATGCTCAGTGGCAAGTAGACACTATGTGCCCATGTGGCCGGTGCCGGTTAAGTTCAGCCTACTGTGCATTGTGCAGTGTTTTGGGAGCTGCCTTCTTGGCACAGTTGGTGGGTGGTAGACGTTGATGGAAAAGGACCTTGAGGTGTTGACTTTGCTACTTGGTAGGAGAGGCCAGGTAGGTTGTATCCATCTGCTGACCTAAGATTTGCACATGACCCCAGGTTCGTGTAGTTTGGACTTTTGGAGCAAAGGCTGAACATCGTATTTTTGCCCACTCGTTCTCCCTGAGGGTTCTGCTTCTCTTGGACCTGTGTTCTTTTCTCATAGGCCCAGCCCCAGCCCACCCCCACTCGTAATGTTAGACCAGGCTTATTACTTTGGTGTGGTTGTTGAAAGCTGCAACCTCTCACGAGGATTCGGTCCAGTTGCACTTACTTAACGCTATCATTATTCCCAGGTACAGCGTGTCTCTCTCCTAATTTAAAAGATTCTCTATATTAAGACTACATTTACAGCTTGTTCACTTCTATAGGTTGAGTGACATTTAATTTGAAATTTATGGCTTCAGATAATGTTGCCTTTGTCATAGAATTTCAATGAAGGCATGACAGAGGGATGGTAACATTTAAAGCCTGTCATTTTGTCTGCTTTGATGTGAGCTAGTGTGTGTATCTAATGGTGTGCAAATAGCACAGTGCATGCAAGAAGTGTGAAGATATGTGTGTGGGGAGGAGGAGACAGTAGCCCAGAGCATAGCTGAGGAACACAGAGACCCTGAAGACCCACTCAGCATCTCCTCAGGGGACCCCAAATCCCCTGAGCAGAGTCACATTCTTCTTGTGGCCTAGCATTTTGCCATAAAACTAACATTCACGCCCACGTACAACCTGGCTCTGTAGAACACATATCCTGGGAGGTCCAACTGTGCTGGTCTGCATAAAACCACTCCCTTTATTGAAAACACAGCTGTCCTCTCAGATAGGGACTCAGGCCAGAATACCTCCTGCATGCTAACAGTAAGTCAGCTGGCCTCTGCTGCCAACTTGCAGCCTCACCAGAGAGCATCACGGGGTATTTCCTAAATATATATTTTTGAAGCAGTGGCTTCCAAACCTTTAGGGGTTGCACTTCTCTGGTGTCTGAATTCATGCTGGCTGACACCTGGGAAACAGAAACCTGCACTCAGCTGAAACAGAGGGAACTCAACCCTCAGAGTGCACCAGGACAGGTCAAATGAACTAAGCCAACATACAGTGACCAGTGTCCACCAGGCTGTGTGTTGGCTTCGTGCTTCATTTTGTGCCAGGCTGACTAGGCTGTGGCAGAGACTGTCAGACAGATGGTGGGATAGAGGCTGGGAGGAAGCGAGCAGGAAGTCAGTCCAACCAGGAGAGAATCTAACATGGCTAGTCACACAGATGGGATTAGGGACAGTTGTCAGGATATATCTACATGGAACCAGGGACATTGACAGTGTAGATATGCTTTCCTTAACAGTGGCCATGGTACCAGTTGCACTGGCCCCAGTACCTGAAGATGACTTACCTCCTTCTTATTTCATCAAGCATATTTGCAGAATCAGTACTGAGCATGGGACAGAGAGGACTGAAGGGAGGTCTCAGCTGCTTCAGGCCAGATGACTATTTCATTTTGTGCTGTCTCTCTGCCCATTAGTGCTAGTGTTGGTCCAATGCTGGCCTCTTTTGAGGTGGCCAGAATATGGTAGCGGTCCCTCCTTTATGTCTGCCAGACAGGAGCATGCATTTAGAATAGGGGACTCTGCCCTGTGCATCATTCAAAAGATTCATTAGCTTCCTGCTTGAGGTGTCAGCCTCGACAAGATGCAGTCAGAGGAGCAAAACGTGGAAGGTGTGTGTGTCTGTCTGCACAGGAAGTTCTTTGCAGGGACTTAATGTGGTGGAGCTGGTGTCATCTGGAGTTTAAGGTTTGCAGATCAAGGAGAGACACAGAGACGCAGAGACAGAGGGAGGGTGACACCTTTTCTGGCCTGCTCCTTGGAAATTTTCCCATTTGCTTCGACTGCTGAGGTCATTTCTGAGAGAAGGGAAGTCAGCGTGAAGGGGCAGCTGGACTCCAGTGTTCACTGCCACAGTGCTGACAATAGTCAAAATGGAGTCTATCTAAAGCACCCTGATTGATGAACAGCCTATCAAAATCCATCTCACTCTCCTGTTGTCTCCTGACATAGCCACTGCCAGCAGACATGCAAAATCTCATCGGCTTGTGAGCTCCCAGCTCTAGAGAGTGGCACTCCATGCCTGTCTCTTGATAACCAAGTGCAGGTGCCACGGCTTCTCAAGAGGCCACAGAGAATGACTGACTTCTGGTTCATTCTGGTTCTCAGAATTCAGTTCTGGGCAGTTGTGTGACTCACATCCTTTTCTTACTGGCTGCTGCTGCGCCCTCCTTCTCCAGACCCTCAGTGGCCGAGTAATGTTTTTTGGACGCTCCAAAAGGATGGGGTTGGGGAGAAATGGGCAATGGGTTTGCCTCCAGCTAAGGAGCTTTGATGCAGCAAATAAACTCCTCCGCTTCTAAAGATGTCACGTGGTCAGGTTAGATGCATGAGTCACTCCCACCTGAATGACTTTTTGCAAACGTAGAATCTCCTCTGTAGTGGTATAATGTCACGTGATTCCAGTCGTGGGCGCTTACAATCATTGGTGCAAGAACTGGGGTGAGAAACCTCAGGGGCTATTCAGAACTACTGCCTATACCAAATATGCTAAATAAATGCCCATTTTGTTAGATTTTTATTTTGCTGTAATTTGTAACTTGAAGTTAATAGAGTTTTTGATAGTTTAACGAATATTTCTAAGGATTGTGGAAGAATTCTAATCTTGTCTGTCAATTACTGAGGTTGCTTTGCATGTTTTTTTGCTTATGAGGCCATCATCCTCCTGGCCTTGTACTAGCATGACCTGACACACTATGGATTTTGAGTATGCACAGAGTCCTGGAGAACCTGGCCTAGACTTGCAAGATACTGCCACCTACCTGGGGCTGTGGGCAAGTGAAGGTTCTTATCTGTTCTGTGGAGCCTGCTGCTTCAGGAAGCTCCTGCAAGACTGGTGGAAGGTGCCCGTTGCTATGCCTGGGCTGTGCAGAGGCTGGAGCCAGGCTGGGCTTGGGGCATGGAAGTCTGTGTTGCCGAGTCTTGAGTTCAGTGTTGCTGAGTACACCACGTCCATTTTAGGACGGGTGCTGCCATGTGTAGCCACTTTTGTTCAGAAAACATGCAGCTCATGTCGGGCGGCTCAGATCTCGTCAAACCTCACTGCATTTCTACCAAGTCCTAGGCATGACCTCCAACCCTGTTGCTATGACCATGAGCCTGTTGAGCAGGTGGAGTCTGGGAAAGGGATGACCGGAATCCACAGAACAGGTCATTTACCACCCCTTTCTTCTGGAGGTGTCGCTGGGAGGTCACACTCTGAAGAGAAGATGTTTGGAATACAAATGCCTTTGAGTCCTTTGTACATTCAAGGGAGGTCAGTCTCTATATCAATCCCCGATTTTCCTTGTCACCAATTTTCTGTCACGTTCTCCCAACTTTCTACCAGCCAAAGTATTAGCCACAGTTCAGGAACCAGAATGTATTTGCATAGAGGTCCGTTCCCTCTTACAAATGAAGAACTAAGTTCTGTCTCACAGAAGAACTTCCCTTTACCTCTTCTCTACCTCTTCTCTATCAGACGGAACGCTCCGTACACCAGGCCTCAGTCTGCTCTTGCTTTTCTACGGATTGCAGGAAATTCCTGCACGAGGGTACAGGAACAGGCTGCGAGAGAGGAGTCAGTCGAGCATGGCAGACACAGGCACTTGGTCCACTGATTTGTGCCATTAGGCCCTGCTTAAGCTCCATCATATATATCCCATGTCCATGTGCTGTTGTGTGTAGCCATTTTGGCATGTAACATGCAGTTCATGATAGGCAGGTCTGGAGGTAGCTTAGTGGTCCATGGTAGACATTCCATTTCTACCAAGTCCCAGTGTTAACAGTGCTCAGGGCCAGGTTCTAGACATCTTATCCAAAGAATTGAAAATGGCTTTGCACAGGTTTGCAAAGGAAGCAAGGTAATTTCATTAGAGCGTATCTATAGTTTAGATTAAATAGGGGTATACATTCTCAAGTGAGCCACATGAGGGAGAGTCTTCAGGGACCCTGAGGATTATTTTTCAGTGCTTCCTTGCATGGGGCTCAAGAGGAGTTTGGTTATTAAGGGATGGAAAATGGGCAGTTCTTTGTTTTGATTGATAGATGAGGTCATCTATTCACTTTTCCTAATGAGAATGTCCCTTCCCACCATACATCCAACTCTAATCATATGTGAGGCCAATTATGCAGAGGCATGAAATGGTAAATAGGTTATGGGAGGACTTGGTTTGCCTTATTATACATGCAGGACACCAAACCCTCACCTCTGCTGGCCTGCCTCCATAGCAGCAGGTACAGAGTTGATCTTAGGACTGATTATCTATAGAGCATGGCAGGACCCAGCTCCAGGGCCAGTGTGTAGCCCACGGACTGGATCTGTAGGTACCTCTGTATGAATTCCCAACCTACCAAGCTAGGCCATGACAGGAGCTGGGGAACATTCTCTGGTGATCAGAGACTCGCAGCTGTGCCTTCTCCAGGGGCAGAGGTCAGATCAGGAGGGAAGTGGAGCAAGAAGAAGATAAGATGAGAGATGAGAGGGGGCCTTAGGCTTTGTGCCAAATGGAGCCTCTTCTGTGTGAGATCAGCGGGGACCAGGGTTCCAGGGAAGCCGTGCAGGGTCTGGACTCGAAAACACAGAGCGAAGACCTGCCAGCTGCATATGCTCACCGACAACCACTGTGAGGCCTGAGCCCACCCTGGGCCTGTTGCTTTGGTGGCCGCTTCTCTTCCATTTCTAAGCTAAGAGAGCAACACTCCCAGCCCTGTGGGAGGACAACAGAAACGGCTATGTGTGCTGCCGTGGAGTCCCGAAGGCCCAGCCTCTGTCTGCATATGTTGCTTTCTAGAGGGTGTATACTGTAATCTATCGTCTTGATTTTAGGACTGTGAGCATGAAGAACATCTTTGAAAGCACCTGTTAAATAGTTTAGGCTGTTTTGGGAGTAAACAGATTAAAAACAAAATTTCTAATAACCTTAAGAATTATATTAAACCTGTCTGTGATGATAAACTTCGAGAACCTGGGAGAGAGAGAAGGAAAGAGGGAGGAGTGGGGAGGGAGAGGTTTATGGAATTCCTGAAGTCTGAGAATGCAGTGTAATAAAAACACCCAGTGCTTCTACTCAGTTAATTTTCATGCCAGTCAAGTCTTAGTGCCTGGGAGGGGGAGATGGGTGATACTCCTTTAAATTCAAACACTTTGGTTGTGTGTGTCTGTGTGTGTTGTTTTGGCAAGTTCTTCATATGGGAAATAAATCTATTAAGAGATGCAAGGTCTTTGCACAGTGGATGAAGACCTAGTAAGCCTTTAGAGCAGAGGTTCTCAACTTTCCTAACACTTTGATCTTTTAACACAGTTCCTCATGTTGTTGTGACCCTCAACCATAAAATTATTTTCATTGCTACTTCATAACTATAATTTTGCTACTATGATGAATCTTGTTTGTTTGTTTTTGTGTGTGTGTAGCCTTGGCTGACCTGACTCATATTGTAGACGAGGCTGGCCTTGAACTCACAGCAATCTGCCTGCCTCTGCCTCTCTAAGTGCTGGCATTAAAGGTGTGTGCCACCACTCCTGACTCTGTGATGAATCTGAATGCAAATATCCGTGTTTTCTGATGGTCTTAGGCGACACCTGCAAAAGGGTCTTTGGACACACTAGAGAGGTCATGATCTACAGGTTGAGAACCACTGTTCTAGGAGCAGGCAGAGGCTCTTCACATCCTCCCTCATTTGGATGTCTTACTGTGAACACAAATTTACTTCATGATCACAGGATATGTTTTAAGCCCTTCTCTCCCTACCGTCCTCCTTTCCCCCTTCCTTCCTCCATTCTCTCCAGACCCTTGTATGTGTTACTGAGGCTACGAGACCTAGAGCGTTACGCATCCGTGCTAGGCAACGCTCTACCCCTGAGCTTCACCCCCACCCCCTAAAGTGAGCTTTTCTCGTTCAGTGTTCTCCAGGGTGCCTGACGATCCACATCCGCACTGCTTTGTGTGTGTTCATAGTGGTCTTAATCTACTCAGTAGCTCAAAGCTGTGTGGTGAGTATCACTGCCTTTCGACACACACGGGGGTGGGGTGGGGCAGGGGGCAGGAGCAACGGGCTGAAGAAGCTGAGCCAGGCCTTAGGAGACGTAGCGGGGGTGCGAGGAGTAGAAGGAGCTACGGGATGCTACACAGGATAGAGCTGCCTGGTTTGGAGACCAGGCAGGGCCTAGTGCTAGCTGGCTCACCTTACTTGCCCCCAGACTTTTCTGTAGGATAGCAGGGAGTGTTCGCATGCTGCAGCAAACAGAGGCAGATGGAGGCCTGGTTGGTGGTGTAGAGCTGGTGGAGTGGCAACAGCACTAGTGACTAGGGGCTCAGTGAGACTGGGGTACTTGGGCATTCTGAGGGGCTGCTGTACTTCGCCTGGGCCTTCCTAAGCCTTCATCCACTTGCTTCCCAGGTGGGCTGCCTGCCCTGGGCCTGGAGCTCTCAGTCCAACAGCTCCCTTGTGGTCCTTGCAGCCGGTGGCCGGCGCACTGTGCTGCCTGCCCTGCCCTGCGAGTCTGCGCACCACGCCCTGCTCTGCTGCCTGGTGGGCACCCTCCCACTATGCATATTCCTGCGGGTGTCCTCCTTGCCAAAGATGATCCTGCTCTCTGGGCTGACCACTTCCTACATCCTTGTCCTGGAGCTCAGTGGATACACCAAGGTTGGGTGAGTGTGGCACGCCAGGGGAAAACTCTAGACGGGGTGATGTTCAGTAGCATCCTCCTCCGACAGCAAGCTGCATGAATCGCTGTTGTTCTTAATCGTTTCCTCAGTTATTAACCCTACGGCCACAGCGTTCTCTCTCTCTCCCTCTCCGTCTCTTTAAAACAGACAGACACATACAGAAACACAAATACACAGGCAGGGAAGCAGACGGACAGACACACATCCACATCCACGTACACCACTTAACAAGCCAGTGCAAACCAGATGTATACAATTTTATTCTAGTTTGGTGGCTTTTCCATTTCTCTTCTTGAGCCTGGACCCTAGCAAAGTCTTTTAACTTCTAGCTGAGATGAGAGCCAGGCCTGCGGTCAGGCCCCAAGTTGTTTTGTAGGCCTTACCACCCCAGAAATGGCTCCCTGCCCAGACCCAGGGTTTGATGGCCATGTCTTGCCTGGAAGCTGAGTCTGATGGGATTTCTTTCTCCTCCACCTCCTCAGGGGTGGTGCCCTATCTGGGCGCAGCTATGAGCCAATCATGGCTATCCTGCTGTTCTCATGTACGCTGGCCCTGCATGCCAGGCAAGTGGACGTCAGACTTCGGCTGGACTACCTCTGGGCAGCGCAGGTAAGTTGAGCCCTCTGTTTCCTAGGGCATGGCATGGCTGTGGGGAAGGTAGCAGAGACTCCAACTGGCTACATGGCAGGCTGAAGCCCTGGCTCAGTAGTATAGCAGAGTCAGCACAGTGGAGGAACTTCCTCAGATGATCTGTCCTGGACGCTTGAGTTCTAGGCCTGGCACCCATGGGATGGCTGGACAGATGGATGCAGGACGGACGCGAGGGCTGGGGACTGGAGTTAGCGTGGCTCTGTTGTACGGCGGTACACTCCCTGTCCTAGGGCCTCCGTGGGGATTGGGTGTGGCCGGGATCCCATCAGGGTCCTTTCAAAAACTCCATGCCAAACCTTGGTCAGCTCACCCCTGACCTAGTAATTTTCCGGGTATTTCTGACAGGAAAGCTAGGAGGCCTCAGAGTGTAAGTAGCCGGGTGAGCCGGTCTTGAGGCCCTGACAATCTTTGCACCAGGCAGGCTGTCACACTGCCTGTACTTAGCTTCCGAGTGAGGAAAGTGCCAGCTGAGGAGTACTTTTTGGCCTGCGTTCACAAAAACAAAAACAAAAAACAAAAAACAAAACAAACAAACAAAAACAAAACAAAACAAAACAAAACCTTTGGAGCACGGTGAGGTTTACCAGTGTCCATGGCAAGGTGGGGTTTCCTGGTGCTGGGGCAGATGTGTCTCTTCATGTACCCCCTGCCTCTGCTTGCTGTGCTTTCCCAGGGATGGAAAAGCATTTGCAAGGCTTGCCCCCAGGCTCAGCTCCCATCTACAGTGGTTTCCCTGGCAGCAAATTGTCCCATGAGACTTCCTTACCTGAAAAGGAGGGAGTATGGCCAGTGAAGCCGAGTCTTGGCAGCAGCTAGTCTTCTGATTCGGATGATGCATTTAGAACAGCCTCTGCCTTTTGAGTGGTGGAGTTTCCTCACTGCTCAGGATGAGATGAGAAATGAGAAAACATTGAGAGGCACGTGAAAAAGCAGGGTCCACAGAGGGACCTACCAGTGTCGGACAGTGGCTGGCCTGGGGTAAGCTGCTGAGCCAGGCTATGGCTGCATTCCTGTGCTGTCTTCTCAGACTCTGAGCCCGTCTTGGACAGTGTATGAGGCCATAGAAGAACATCATCAGCTCAGGGCCTTGACTGTGCAGCCAGGGCTGAAGGGTCCCAGCTCAGAGTTGGGGCTCAGATGCCAGGTAGGTAAGGCCAGAGGACAGTTAGGAGGAGCCAGTGATTGTGATAAAAATGCTCCCTGGCAAATTCTCCCCTTGCCGGCAGTAAAATGGAGTGAGAACCACCATTCTGAGTTGCTCAAAATAAATGCAGTTCCCCTTCTTGGCAACCTGCTCCCAGGCCTGGCATGAGGAAGCTTGTTGCGGTGTTGTGGCTTGGTTGAGCCGGTGGCCCTGTCCCTGGGCTATAGGTTATGTATACTGTTGGGTGGCCGGTTTTTGCAGTACTTACCAGTGACCCACCTCACCCAGAAGCAGGAACCAAGGAGCCTATTGGTTTGTAGCATCTAGGTTGCGGAGGGTGGGGGTGCCCCTGGTGACGGCATTCGCCAGTTCCTGGAAAGGAGACCTGGCCAGCTGCAGTTTGCCCGAGTCATACCAGGTAATGGGAAGAGCCTCTATGGCAGCTGTGGCATCGATCGTGGTCTTTGCTGTACGCAACTCTCTGTTCAGCGTAACCCAGCTGGCTGCCCGCTGTGGTCCACTGACCCTGCCATCAGCTGCATTGTCGGGTTTCAGATCTCATAGTGAGTAACTCACACAGGATGAGGCTTGGAAGGTCAGGACTCTTGGTACAATGAGGTGGGGTTCTGTAAGGCTGTTTGCTAGGGCATCCAGTTGGTTCTCTAGCCTAAGCAAGTGGAATCGAGGCCTGGAGGTGAACTCTTTTCTGTGGGGGAGTGGTTACTCCTTGGGTAGACATTTTTTCTCGTATGGAGCGGCATGGCCTCTTTTGGGCTTTGATTATTAAGTTGCAATATTGGTTCCTAAACGCAGTTTTTAAATGTCATTGAGTCACGTGACTCTTCATCCACACCTTCTACCACCACTCATGACACATGAGCTTTCCAGTATGGGACACAAAGGCATGCCCTCACATGTGACCTTCATGCGTGAGTGTCATGACAGAAGGGTTGCTAAATGGAACACACTGAGACATTTATTTTCCATAGACAGGTAACGGAAACGTCACCCTGCTTTCCCGTAACCCCAGCAAAAAAACATGGAACTTTCAGGACTTTGTCTGTTTGCCCTCTGGGTACTTAGTCAGGTCATAGAGACCACGAGAGCACCTGAAACTATTGCCTCATTGTCCGGACAAACACTAGCTGGGTTAATTATTTTTGGAAACCACGTTGGCCATACAACCCTGCATAAATAAACAGACTTTGCTTTGCCCTTGGTGAAATTCTCTGGCTCTTCAAGAGCTGTGACTGTTGGCATAATTTTATCCCAACATTGTTTTTTTTGTTTTTTTTTTTTTTTTTTTTTTTTTTTTTTTTTTTTTTTTTTTTTTTCAAGACAGAGTTTCTCTGTGTAGCCCTTGTGTCCTGAGACTCACTCTGTAGACCAGGATGGCCTCAAACTCAGAGACCTACCTGCCTCTTCCTCCCAAGTGCTGGGGTTAAAGGTTTGCTCCCTTATGCCCAGCAACCAATATTATTTTCACTGAATTCAGTAGATATGATCCTTGTGACAAACATAATTCTAATGTTTATTTCCATTTGTACTGGCATTCAGCTTGTTTGCTTACCAGTAAATGCTTAATTTAAGGCGATCCTTTCCATGCTGAAGCCATCACTTAACCCCAAGGAGGGTTTCCTGTGGCTTGGTGTCAGCACATACTGAATTCCCATTGGTAGAACTACATCAGACCCTGTGGCACTTCTTACTTCCGTCCACAGGTTCTTGGCCGTGCTTTCCCATACAGGTATGGCAGTAGCAGGGACTTTACATCTTGCCCATAAGGTCCTCTTCCAGGGACTTCGAAATGCTGTGGCAGCTATCTCCCCTTTCTTCTGGTTGGCACAGGCTTATGTCAGGACTGTGAGCGGGCAGACGGGACCAGATGATTTCTGATGATCTTGCATTAGGCCCCACCTCTTCAAAGGTTTTCACTCTTCCTTCGATGCCGTATGTAATGTATATGCATGGGAAATTGAATATGCCACAGCATACATATGCAGGTCAGAGGGCAGCTCGGTGGAGCTGATTCTGGCCTTCCGTCTATCACTGGTTCTTTTGTCAGACGTATGCAGCAAGCATCTTTAACCCGTGAGCCATCTCACCAGGCCCATGTCTTATAGGTCCTACCACCTCTCACCACCACCACACTGAGGACTGAGTTGTGCCTCCCCTCCTGCCCTCCACAGGCACACAAACCCTGGCCACGAACCACAGGAGAGTGGTGAAAGCCTTCCATTCTTAATATTTTTCTGGGAGGCTTTGGGAGAGTTAGAGAGTTGATTCTTCCATAAATGTTAGGTGGAATGAAATGAACCTCTGAGCCATAGGTTCATACTGGTTGTTTAATGAAGAGATGTTAAGCTAGAATTCCCAAGTTCCCTAAAATCATAAGGCCCCTTAGGCTTCCTATTGCTTTCTACGGTGGCTCTAGAAGTTTGATCCTTCCCTGACAAGTGCTGACTTAAAATTGGCCATGGCATCCGTTGCTGAAATTGGCCATGGTATCCCTTGCTATTCCTTTAATATCTGTGGAGTCTGATTGTGTTATTTAATTTCTTATATTTGTTCACGGTTGAATTTATTGTTATTTCACCTTTTACAGGTGGCTCGTCCTTTCTTCCCCCCCCCCGCCCCCTTTCTGTGTAGCATTCTCTGGCTGTCCTATACTCACAGCAATCTGCCTGCCTCTGCCTTCCCCTAGTGCTGAGATTAAAGGCATGCACCGCCACGCCCGGCTGACTTCTTTCTAAGGTGGATGCCCTGCTCTGTGTTAGAGACTTGTCCCAGGGTGGCTGTAGAGGTTCTAGGAATGCTGCCATGTAGTGTAGCTGGGGACGCTGGTCCCCAGCGTCTCTAGTTTTCCTCTTCATTTCTTCACCCAAAGAGTAATGTGTTCTTTACTCTGGAAGATTCAGCAGACGTCTTGCAGTTAGTGACTTCAAAATTCAATATTGTGGTCAGAAAGAACATGCTTTCGTGGCTTGAATCCTATTAAGTTTCTTGAGACTTGCTGTGCTGTCCTTGTTTCTTCTGTGTTCTCCTAAATACCATGTGTTTCCTGTAGCTGGTCAGTGGTGTTTAGGTAAATATCGATTAAGTCAGACTTCTCATGGAAACAACTCCCGAACAGAAATGAAAGTTCATCAGAATGTGACTCTGTTCCTACAATCCAAAACCCGTATCCCATTAGGACCCTCTGGTATTACATCGAAGGGAGATTTATTCAGCTAGCCCGCCTACTCTGAGCCACCCTGATTTAACAGGTGGTCACACAAGGAGGGTTGGAGGCCCTGTCTGGCCTTTGTTCTCATAGTGTGTGTGGTCTTCATGCATACAGAGATAATGTGTTTTAAAGTGTGCCCTGGATTACATGACAGTTACCAAGGAAAGGGAGCTTAGGGCTATCCTTATGATCTTTTGCTTGAGGCCTTCTGTGGCCTATATTGGTCAGGACTTATCTGAAGATTTACTTGAAGGAGACCTGAGCCCTGTTGTGAATACAAGCCTAGCTTGTCCTGGGTTCACCATTCGCTCAGATCTGCCCATCTCCAGGCTCCAAGAGAGCTTATTACATATGTGAGTCAGAAACCAGGCTGTGCCGTATATGTGTGTGTGTGTGTGTGCGTGTGTGTGTGTGTGTCTGTGTGTGTGTGTGTCTATGTGTGTGTGTGTCTGTGTGTGTGTTAATTAGCTTACAAATTAGTGGGTTTCCACAAGGCTTCTTCAAGTATGTTTAGTTTACTAACCCACCCCTTGCCTCTTCTTCTTCCCAGTCCGCATCTCCATCCCCACTAAATTTTTAACCTCTGTTATTTCCCCGTCTCCTTTTGTGCTCTTTTCCCTTGGGAGTTGATGTTGCTTGACCTTAGCTTCCTTTATATCCTAGACTGGGTTACTACTGTTGTGATAGAACACTGTGACCAAAAACAGCTTGAGGAGGAAAGGGTTCCTTTTGCTTACACGTACACATTGTAGTCTATCAATGGAGAAAGTCGAGGAAGGAACTCAAGCAAAGCTGGAAGCTGAAGGCAAGGGCTGATGCCATGGTGTGTGTGGTGGTGGTGGTGGTGTGTTTGTGTGTGTGTGTGTGTGTGTGTGTGTGCTGCTTACTGGCTTGCTCAGGCTGCTTTCTTATGAAAGCCAAGACCACCAGCCCAGGGATAGCACCACCTATAATGGCCTGGCCCTTCCCCCGTCAATACCTAATTAAGAAAATGCTCTATAGCTGGATATTGTGGAGGCATTTTCTAATTGAGGGTCCCTCCTTTCAGGTGACTGTAGCTTGTATCAAGTTGACATGAGACTAGCCAGCACAATGTACTCGGGTAGTTCATTTCCATCTCAAGAAGAGGCAGCTTCTAGAGCGAGCGGTGTCTCCAGAGAAACATACTCAGAGGAAGAGGACATTAGGAAGTGCCTTGCTGGTGACTATATGAAAATCAAGTATTGTGTTTTCCTGCTCCTGAAGAGTGGCCTGGTGGACCAACTCTTCACAGGTGCCCTGTGACCCTTGGATGAATCACTGTGGAGGATGGGGCAATTGTTGTCAGTTGTTCCATTGCGAGGACTCGATGTTGATTTCAGGCACGGTGTTGGGGGTTGTTGGTGTTCTCCAACTGAGGATGTTTTGTCAGGGTGAGGGGTGAGCATCATCCTCCTGCACACGCCAGCATCCCAGGGAGGTGCCAGGTTAGGATATTGGTTGTTTTGTTCTTTATCCAAAACTACAAGCACAGCATCTCTGGCCTCCTTGGAAGTGCTACATCATGGTTGATAGACATGCCTGGTCAATAAATTCTAAAACGTAGCACAGGTGAGTAGGGAACGCCTTTTGAATAAGTGCTGAGGGCACGTTTTTGGGAACAGTTCAGTGTGTACCTCGTGTGACCTTGTTGACAGTAACGTGTGTCACCTAGTAAGCTAGTCCTTAAAAAAATCTGAGTTCCCTGACTGGAAAATCTTAGAGCATTTCAGTGGATTTTCATCCTGCTAAAAATATAATCAGACAAATTCTGCTTGCTTTATAAGACTATCTGCTATACGTAGGATGGAGATACGTCAGTCAAATTTCAACAAGGAAACCCTTTTGACTTTTGTGTGGAGTAAGATGTGTTAATGTAGGAAGGACAAAGGTATCCTAGCAGTCCCTAAATGGCAGGACCCAGAATAAAACCTTTCAATAAAATGTGGTAAGCCGGAAGTAATTTTCAGTTTAGTGCTATTTTTGTTTTTGTAAATCCTGCTTTTAGTATTTTGAAGTTTCATATACGTGCACAATGTGTATTAATCATTAACCATAAAAGGAAGTTTTGACTTCTCCTTAAAAACATGTATTATTATACTTTTGTCCCAGGCTGGGTTAGTGGTGCATACTTGTAATCCCAGCGCTTGGCAGGCAGTGGCAGGTGGATCTCTGTGAGTACAAGGCCACACTAGCCTACATGGTGAGCTTTAGGACAGCCAGGGCTAGAGAGAGAGACCTTGTCTCAAAAAATAAAACAGGGAAACAACCCAGATGTCCATCAACGGAGGAATGGATACAGAAATTGTGGTATTTTTACACAATGGAATACTACTCAGCAATCAAAAAGGAGGAAATCATGAAATTTGCAGGCAAGTGGTGGGATCTAGAAAAGATCATTCTGAGTGAAGTATCCCAGAAGGAGAAAGACAAACTTGGTATATACTCGCTTATATAGACCTACAAGATATGATAAACATAATGAAATCTACACACCTAAAGAAGATAATCAAGAAAGTGGACACAGGCGAAGATGATTAATCCTCATTTAGAAAGACAAATGGGATGTGCATTGAACTTATGACAGGAGTCTACCACAAAAGGCATCTGAAAGACTCTACCTAGCAGTGTTTCATAGCAGACACTAAGACTCATAACCAAACCCTCGGCAGAGTGCAGGGAATCATATGAAAGAAGGGAAGTTAGTATGATATGGAAAGGATAGGAGCTCTACAAGGACCAAATATATCTGGGCACAGGGTCTTTTCTGAGACTGAAACTCAACCAAGGACCATCTATGGATATAACCTAGAACTTCTGCTCGGATGTGGCCTGTGGTAGCTCAGTAACCAAGTAGTTTTCCAAAGTAAGGGGAACACGGACTATTTCTAACAGGATCTCAAGGGCAGGCTGTTTGACCCCCCCCCCCCCCAGGGGAGGAGCAGTCTGTTAGGCCACAGAGGAGGACTTTGCAGCCAGCCCTGAAGATACCTGATAAAACAGGGTCAGATGAAAGGGGAGGAGGTCCTCCCCTATCAGTGGACTTGGAAAGGGGCAGGGAGGAGACCAGGGAGGGAGTGTGGGGTTGGGGAGGGAATGAGGGAGCGGGATACAGCTGGGACACAGAGTTAACAAAATGTAACTAAAAAGAAAAATAAAAAAAAAAGGAAAAAAAAATAAAAAAAAAATAAAAACTTCATTGATGATTTAAAAAAAAAAAGAGAGTTTTGTATATATAGAATCATTTGCTTCTATTTCAAATACATTCTTACAAAATGTAAAACAGAAGACTTCTATTTAGATGTGGAAGCCGTCACAGGCATTTTATGCTGATACCTTACTTGGCCATCAAATAAATTAGTAAAATTTATTTTTTTCTGCAACAATCACAATTTGAGCATCAATATTATTTTGTTTTGACATTGTTTAAACCTAAAGTTAAAACTTCTCAGAATCAAAAATAAATAAATAAATAAATAAAACAGCTAATTAATACCTATCCTCTCTTCCATCTCCTACCCACACTTACACCTTTAACCCTGACTATTTCCCCATCTCCTTTCATGTTCAACTTTCTCCTCTAATTAAACTTTTCCCTTGGGTTACAGGAGTGTAGGTTTCTGTATAGGTCACTCACTCACCATTTATTTTGGTTAAACCTTATACCAACATTTCCCCATCTTCTAGCCCTCACCATACTCGAATCTTTCCAACTTTAGTATTACCCCTCTTTTCATTTTACCTGTATTTGACTCTCCCATCTCCCTTAAGGCATCCACTCTAGAAGTCATGCAATATTAAAGTATTTTATTTTTAAGCAAAGACTGTTCAATTATGTTGTTTTTATTGTATTATTATTGATAGTAACAATAATTATTTCAGAGAAGATAAATATTATTGTGCCATTAATATAAGCAAGTTATTTTTTTTAAATACATTTTCTCCCTTAATCCTTTCCTTCAAATGCTTTCCTTTGGGACGTGTTATTTATATTTATATTTAACATTATATTTAGCATGTAGCATGCCAAATATAATTAGAGATAAATTTCCCAGGGAGAGGAGGGTGTTTACAATGTTATATTGACAGGAATGGAGAATAAAAAGACCGAGGCCGGAAGTCAGGGGCCGCTAACCTGTAAGTCACAGAGTCGCTCCATGGGAACCCTCTGCCAGAGAGCCACTCTGACAGTGGCTCGGGGCAGAAGCCTGCCCAATTCCCTTACGTTGTTTTCCTTTCCAGCAGAGGTCATAGACCCTGAGCCCCCCTCAGAATTGCCAGTGGCCATGTCCTGCTGTTTGCAGAGCAGGCTCCAGCCTGTCTGGCCAGTGTCTCCTCTGGTTTGACCTGGAGTCTGGGGCTCACAGGTGTCTTTGTTGTGTTTCTATGCACTGCCACCTGCCCCTTTCTATTGGGGCATGATAATTTGTTGATCTTGCTTCTTCTTCTTCTTCTTCTTCTTCTTCTTCTTTTTTTTTTTTTAAATCATTTTAAACCCACTTCCCCAGACTTGAACTTTCATTGTGGTCACTGTGTCCTCACCACAGCTGTTTTGGCTTGAGCCCTTCTCACTTTGCTCGTTGGAATCACTAGCTCTTGGGGTAGCTGGTAGCATCATGACAGGAAATCCAGCAGCATGTAACTTTGTAAATTCAGCCCTGGGGAGTGTAGAGTAGCCCTCCCCAAAGCATTTGCCAGATGTAGCCCTAGGAAAAGCACCTCTAAAGATGGGTGAGAAGATGTTGAGGCACACTCCTGTGCCTGCCCTGCCCTGTACATCACCGACTGCCAGAGAGCGTTGGCCCATGGATGGCTCCCATGGCAAGCCCCAAGCATCAAAGGCACTATGCTGGCATTTCTGCTATACCAGGAAGTAGTAACACATATACATAGACTTTTTTTTTTTTTGAGACAGGTTTTCTCTGTGTAACCCTGGCTGTCCTGTAACTAGCTCTGTAGACCATGCTGGCCTGGAACTCAGAGATCCATGTGCCTCTGCCTCCCAAGTGCTAGGATTAAAGGTATGTGACACCAGTGAGCAGTGAGGGTCAAGTTTTGTAGCAGGAACATATACAGCTTCTGTCTCTGAGCGCTATGGCATACCATGGGCCACTAGCCCCCACTGATAGCATCCGTTGAGGCTCATGGTGGCCTACACAGAGGGCCACCCCTGACACTATTTCTTAGCTCTGTAGGGCCATAGGTCATGGTAAGCAGACCAGGACTGGTGGCTTCTGCCATCCCCTGTCCAGTCATTAGGACTTCTTTCCCTGCTTCTGGTTCAAAGAGCTCACCAGGTTGAACATCTTGATCCAACCCATCCCAGCAGGATGGGAGTTTTCATGGAGGCAGCAGCAGTTCTGGGGGATATGGTGCCATGGGGAGGTGTCTGCCACCTGTGCTGGACCTTCTGGGAAAGGCAGAATAGAGGCTTGCCTGGGACTGGTACAGTCTGGGATGAGCACATAGGTTCCCAAGAGGTGTTCCAGGGACAGCAATGGGATTTGTGGGTTAGACCCTGGGGATGGGGAGCCATTGTCAAGCACTGAAAGTTAAAATGGCGGGGTGGCGAGTCCTTCAACCCTGCTTTGCGGCTCTTGTCTTTACATCTGGTATGGAAGATAGAGTATTCGTGCATCCTCCATGCATCTAGAGCCCTGCATGGAGGATCAGTGAGGTTGAAGCAGCAGGCTACCCCACGCCATGAGAACTTACTCTAGATACTCAGGGGATAAGGAAAAAAGCCCTTTAATAGCCTGAATCCTGTTCTGGCTAATGCACAAAGAGAAATGAGCCATGAACAGAAACTTTTAACAGTTATATAGGTCATAGGCTCCAACATTCCACGTACAGAGTTACACTTTGAGCAATTAAACAGAGGCAGAGAACTTTAAGTCTGGTTATAGTTACTTTTAATGTAGACCGATACTGTTCTTTTTCTAGTAGTTGTTACCCAGGGTCATCCTGCCTGGCAGAGTCATGCTTTCCTTGGTGAGAGAACCAGACATGGTCTTTGATATGGCAATAGGACCTAATTGGCTGCAGTCTTACCGAACTAAATCCTGGCAGGAACATATTCTCAGAAAGCCTGAAGTTTAACTATATGTTAGAGGCACACAATCCGTCCTACGGTTCCTACCAAGCCTGGCTAGGGTGCTGCTCACCTTCCAGGTAAGTGAGCGGCAGTGTTTCTTCAGCCAAAGCCCACTTTGTGCAACGTAATGCTTCCTAAGCAAGCTTCTCGGCAAATCCTCTATCACATCAGTTTATCACTCCCAGTCTCTCCTGTATCAAGGTATCATGGGGGGAGGGAGGGGGCAGCATACATAGCTGGGATTCATGACCCATGACCCCCAGGCAGAAGAGGAGCGAGACGACATGGAGAGAGTGAAGCTGGACAACAAGAGGATCCTCTTCAACCTCCTGCCAGCCCACGTCGCACAGCACTTCCTCATGTCCAATCCCCGGAACATGGTGAGCAGAAGGGCTTCCTGGGCCTGCTGGGTGGCAGGACTTCCTGTTCTGCCTCTGGGGTGCCAGCCCGGCCTGGCTCACTCCGATTCTCCCGCAACTCGGGGCCTCTTTGGCCTTCAGAAATCCCCGATTTAGCTGCTCAGCTTCCAGCCTGGCCTTTCTACCCCCCCTCCCCCGGGCAATGGGTAAATTCTGAGCCACTAGGAAACAGTGGGGAACTTGGGTGGACAGGTACACATTTCCTTCACCCCCTTTCCCTTTGATCCTGGGCTGGCATGCAGTATGCGTAACTCACAAGAGGAGGAGAGTGGGTTTTAATAAACGAAATCCAGAGAGGGGTGGGGGTGGAAATGCCTTTTCAAGTTTGGGTCATTGCAGATAGCTTCCATAATTTGGGGCCATGCTTTTCCATAGCTGTCTGTCATGTCTGCTTGAAGCATGGGGTTTCTCTTTTCCTCCTTCACGTGGAATGTTTGGTCAGAGCCCCTCACAGCCCTGCCCGTTGCAGTTGCTGTGGTCACCAGCACAGCACAAGGAAGATGCTTGCAAAGGCCAAGTTCAACAGTAAAAAAAAAAAAAAAGAAAGAAAAAAAATCCAGTTTGGCTTCGACAGTTCTAGGGGCAGAACAAAGCCTGGAGGTTCAGCTAACCTGCTCCCAGCCGGAAGCAGCTGCCCTTTCTGTGCACTCGGCTGAGCTTTAGAGCCACGGAACGTGTGTCTTTCATATGATTCCCCCTTCCCTGCCATTCCCTCACCTCGGAGGCCCAAGGACAAAGCGGACCACTCAGGATTTGCCCATGCAGTGGCCCCCACGGCCTGGAGCTAACTGGGCTCCTATGGCCCAGCTCGTCCCTCTTCCCAAAGCTGCTCCTGGTGGTTGGCCGTGCCTGGTGCGGCGTGGCGAGGCCGACCCCTTCTGCCTTTGCAGGACCTCTACTACCAGTCCTACTCCCAGGTGGGCGTCATGTTCGCCTCCATCCCCAACTTCAATGACTTCTACATCGAGCTGGATGGCAACAACATGGGGGTGGAGTGTCTGCGGCTCCTCAATGAGATCATTGCTGACTTTGATGAGGTGAGGCCGTGCAGCAGCGTCTACTGACAGGGTGGCAAGGATGACCCTCTGTCGACCCAGACCCTGCCTGGGTCCACAGCAGGGTCCAGGGCAGCTGGGACAGTTAAGACAGAGGGACCAGGGCTGGGCAGCTTCCACTCCGGGTGGGCAAGTGGGAACCTCTAGGCCCTTTCCCAACCGGGCGCTGTGTGTACCCCTGCCCTAGAGACCCTCTTCCCCAGTGTCTGTGAGTTTAGCTTCAGAGACAGGGATGCGTCCTATGCTGTATTTCCTTTCACACATAGTGCCAGACCCAAAACACCAGAGGAGCCGCTGTGCACTATTTGATGGCCACCTCCTCTGTCGCCCCCTAGTGGATGATGGCTGTATGATAGCTCTCCACTGTGCTGGGGTGGTTAACAGTTCTGTGTTTTAAACAAAGCTCATGGACAAGGACTTCTACAAGGACCTGGAGAAGATCAAGACCATTGGAAGTACCTATATGGCCGCGGTGGGGCTGGCGCCCACAGCAGGAACCAGGGTGAGTAGGTCCCAGGCCACTTGGCTCAGGTCTAGTCTAGCTCTGTTTCCGATGGATCTGGGATGCCAGGGCAGGTGCCCCACACTGAGGTTGGTTTCTCTGTGCTGGGTTAGGGGAGAAGATCCTAGGATATCTTGCCATTGGGTGGTTTTTCCCAGATACTGAATCTTAGAAAAGCCCTCAACTTCAAGCCCTCCTCATCAGCTGCCTCCTTTGGCTCCTAGCCTTGGAGTGCTCAAAACTCGAGCCCCGCCCCAAAAGTGCACTTGTGAACACAAAGTAGGTCTGCAGATACAATGCAATAAGGAGCAGTCTCCCAGAGCGGTGTCAGCAGCCCCATTTTGCCCAACATTTAAGGAACGGATGATGCGAGTCACCTTCACCCTCCTCTAGAAGACAGGGGCGGCGAGAAAGCTTCCTGACTCACATTCTCAGACCAGAGCTAGACGAAGACATACCTAGAAGGGGGAGCCACAGATCAGTAGTATTTGTTCTCACAGATGTAAGTGCAGAAAGCCCTCATCAAACATTAGCAAGCAGAACCAAGTGGTAAGTAAAACGAATTCTACACAAGGGCCAATCACGATTCACTCTAGCTATTAACATTCCAGAATAAATTTGTGAAGCCCATCCTACAATATATGATCCTAAAAACTGACACAAGACTCCATGTGAATCAATAGCCATTCCTGAATAAAAATTTAATAATTTTTATTAAACTCGGAGAAAAGGAAACCTCTGATTTGACAAAGGACACATATGAACCCTACAAACTTAACATTATGTCTGATGAAGAAAAACTCCTCAGCTTAAGACCAGGAGCATTGCAAGAATAACCTTTCCCACCTGCGTTAAAACTAGTATCATCACTGATTATTAAAGTCAGGACTTCGCTAAATAGTCTGGATGGGACTTGAACAACTGGGTAGCCCAAGTTGGCAAAGAATGCCATTCCTTATTCTGCCCCCTGACTTTTGGGGTTGTAGGCATACACTGCCATACCCGACTCTCTCACCAGTAACATTTAACGGCATTCTGGAGGTCCTAGCTAAGGCCGCAGGTCAAGAAAGTGAGATGAAGCGCGTACGGATTTTGGAGGAAGAAAGAACACCATCTTTGTCTTCAGGTGACATGAGAGTAAACACGTGGAAACCCTGAGAGAACCAAAGATGGGGTGAGGGGATGGGTGGGTGCCACTACTGTAAATGGTGAACGAATGGATGAACAGAGAAAGGTAGCAGGATACAGAGCTTGTATGTAAAACTCGATCCTTCTCTGTGTAGTAGCCATGGACGTTTGGTGTTTGAAATTACAAACATAATACCATTTATATTAGCACCAAAATAGAATACTTGGGGTAAATATAGCATGGCGTAGACAGGATCTATATAAGGAAAACTATTCTGCGTCCTTGCATGGGAAGGATGGCTGCTGTCAAGATATCAGGGATTATAAATTTGATGTGTGGAATTAACCCAGCCTCAATAAAAATTGTATCAGGGTATTGCATGACCTTGACAAACTGAACCTAAATTTAGACTGAAAAACAAAAGATCCAGAAGAGCCCAGACGATCCTGGAGATCATATACAAAGCTACAGCAGTGACAGCAGTGTAGCATCCTGGGGATATTTCAGACTGATCAGTGGGACAGGGTAGAGCACCCAGAAAGAGACACATATAGCTATGCCCAGTGGATCCCCATTTTTCTTCTTTCTTTCTTTCTTTCTTTCTTTCTTTCTTTCTTTCTTTCTTTCTTTCTTTCTTTCTTTCTTTCTTTCCTTCCTTCCTTCCTTCCTTCCTTCCTTCCTTCCTTCTTTCTTTCTTTCTTTCTTTCTTTCTTTCTCTCTCTCTCTTTCTTTTCTGGGACAGGGTTTCTCTGTGTAGCCTTGGCTGTGCTTGACTGGCTTTGTAGACCAGGCTGGCTTCAAACTCACAGAGATCTGCCTGCCTCTGCCTCCCAGAGTGCTTGGATCACAGGTGTGTGCCACCATGCCAGGCTGATCTCTATTTTTAATATAATAATTGCATATCCACATGCAAAGACACAGCCAAGGTAAAGATGTTCTGCTTCTCATGACACCAATTTGAGTCAAGTGATTAACCTAAATGTAAAATAAAAATCTAAATACTTCTGAACAATAGGATGGGAGAAAATCCAGATTGTCTTGAGTTTGGGATGGTTCTTTTTAGCTATAACAGCAAAAGCATGATCCTGAAAGAGAAGTTAGTTGGACTTTATTAAATTAAAAAATAACCCCTACTATATAAACAATATTCTCTCAGTCTGTAGACTGGGAGAAAATTTGTAAGCCACCTATTTGATAAAGGACACACTTAAAAAAAAAATCCTATAAGATTTTAAAAATCAGAAAAATGCCAACCTAGTTGAAAAGTAGGCAATCCGGGTAGGTGTCTTACCAGTGAAGATCTATAGAGGAAGGTAAGCACACGGAAAGATGCCCCATATTTTAGTTTATCATGGAGGAGACTGAAGTGTTGGCATAGAAATACACTGAGCTGTTCGAACAAAATCCAGAACACTGATACCGCCAAGCACTGGGAAGTCTGTGGGACAGCAGGAACTCTTGTTCTTTACCGGTGGGGAGGCAAAATGCTCTAGTTGTGGAGACAGTTTGGCAGCTTATAAAGCCAAGCAGACCATTCCCATTGCCCATCCATCCCCCACAATCGCAGTGCTTTGTACTTACGAGAATGAGATGCAAACCTATATCCACATAGACGCCTGGCAAGTGTTACCCATAATCACTAGAACCTGGAAGCCCCTTCATTAGGTGAATGGATAAAGAAATTCTGACATGTCCATAAAATTAAATACTACTGTCATAAAGTAGAAATGTGCAGATGACAAAGAGACACAGCGTGACCTTAAGGGAGTATGTGGTACTGTCTGAAAAAGACAAAACCACAGAGACAGAATTAGTGGCTTCTGGATATGGGGTAGAGGAAGGGATGGTGGGGGTGCTGTTATGTGACCCTGTGCTGGTGGGTGCATGATATTATGCATTCATCAAACCTTCAGGATTGCAGTACCAAGGGCGAGCGCTAATGTAAACTGTAGCTGTGGGTTGGTAATCATATGCCAGTATTGGTTCAGACTGTAACAGATGTGTCACTGCGACGCAAGAATGTAGCAGTGGTAAGTTGTATGCAGAGGAGGTCACTAGCGGAGACTCTGTATCATCTCCTCCACTGCATGGAAGTTAAAGTTCTTCAAAAAAATAAAAATAAAAATAAGATAAAGCCTGTTCAATGTTGTTTTAAGAACATAGCTCCCTGATATTGAGGAAAATAAGTCTCCTGGATAAATCCAAATTAGAAACTTTCTGGACATCACTGTTTTACAAATGGAAGGACTTGTCACCCAGTCACATCCACACAGATGCAGTGTCCATCCCTAGAAAGGGAGCTGGTGTCCCTCCCTGCCCTCCCTGACATATGTCCCCCAGTCCTTGTTTGGCTCATCTACAACATGTATTGACAGCATCGCCCAAGTAGGTGTCCAGACTCCTGATGCCCCGGTTCCAGGGCCTGTCCCCAACACCTCCAGCAGGGCATGGTCTGTACCAGTGTGGATTAGGGTGGTTTCTACCTGTGTCCCCCAGAACCATAGTTTGGGCAATACCCTAAATTTTCTACCTGTAGAATAAGAGAGTCAATGTGTCCCCAGTCTGAAATCAAGAGTACCTATTTCCAGAGCTCCTATGTCTTGTAAGAATTAAATCCCAGGCCTAGGACCTGCCCAGGTGGTCCCTGACCCACCACCTCTGACACGCCACACGCTTACTTTCCTGTCTCTTCACACCCAGGCTAAGAAGTCCATCTCTTCCCACCTGAGCACTCTGGCAGACTTTGCCATCGATATGTTTGATGTCCTGGATGAAATCAACTACCAGTCCTACAACGACTTCGTTCTCCGAGTCGGTAGGTGACTCGGAACCCATCCCTGTCACTAATGGGAGCATGGTCAGTGTGGGCCCATGGTCTCACAAGAGGTGGGTCGGGGGTGCGTGGGGACGGCATTGTCTCTGAGGGTGGCTTGTGGAAGTGCAGTGCTTCAGAAAGGGACTTAGTAAGGATTCATTATAAAGTTCAGGAGATAACAGCAGACGTCTTCAGTCACTGCTGCAGTCATCAGAGGCAAGTCCGCAACCTTGGTCACCTGGGAACAGGCTGCTCGGCCACCACCCTGATGCACGCAGGTCCCCCTTGGAAGAGGTTTTGGAGGGAGTCCAGCAGCTGGGCCCAGGCAGCTCCTTCCTTGGCTGTGACTTGAGAAGGGAAACTGTTTGATACCCAGGTCTCTTTCTTGTGTTTACAAAACCCTATTAGAAATTCAGCTTTCACCTGAGATGTAGACCGTCAGAAAATTCATCTCATCTAGAATCCAGTTGAGTTAGATAATTACCATTCTTCCCTCCCTATCTCCCCTGTCTCATACCTCCTATCTTTGTCTTGTTCAGGATATAGTTGACTAGAGGTTTATGACCATTTTATAATGCAAATGTCCAGTAGCCTTAAAATGGCCCTTGATTATGCTTGGGTGCAAGAATGATGGGAGGTGAGTAGTTCACAGCAAGTGGTATGCCAGTGTCCTTAGAAGCAAGCTGTTTCAACATGGTGTCCCCTGAGGGCAGGGACAGAGCAGCTTCTGACTTTCTTCCTAGTGGCCAGTCTCCTCCTGAGCCTCTAGCTCTCATCTATAAAAGTGCTAATGTGATCGGCCTAGATATATTGGCGAGTCCTCTTCCTTTGCCCCAGGCCCCTGTGTTGGTCCCAAGGTGAGATTGGATGAGATTCTCTTGTGGCTCTGCAGGCCAGCCCCTGCCCAGGTTCCCCCACCAGGCTTCACAAAAGTGGCTCCTAGAATCCTACGAGTCATTTGAGAAGTGGCTCCCAAGTGTCCTCCCTGGGTCACCCATGAGCTTCCAGGCTTGTTTCTGATGCCAGTGACTTTAGAGGAAGTTCAGAAACATTGCTTCACATATTCAGGTAGACAGGAAGTGGCATCTACTCAGGCCAGGCGGCCCTACTTACAGGGGCAGCAGCCTGTAGACTGTACTGAGAGTGCCCCTAACATCCCACTAAGGCCAGGCCAGACCAGGATGGCACATAGCATTTATAAGGAAATAAACCCACACTTCTCATGAACAGTAACTCAGACGTAGGCGTACCCGGCCCAGACAGGAACTGTGCAGGTCCTGAGGCCAACTGGACCCCGACCTGTGGAAGGAGAAGGGCTTCATGTCTGCCCCTCTGGGCATCTGAATTTGTTCTTGGTGCCAGGACCAACATCCCGAACAGTGTAGCTTCAGTGCTATATGGAACAGCTAAGAAGCTGTGACTGCTTAAGGGGGCAGAGAGGTGAGGTACACTGTGGGCATAAAAGCTAGAGAGCCAGACTTCCTGGTGGCTCCAGAGGAGGACCCCACAGAAGGGCCAAAGTGACAGTGACGCAGAAATGCGTCCCCTAAGTGAGAATCCACTCCACCCACTGAGGAAAAACGAGGACAAAGCTCTTTAATGCTAATATGTGTCCAGCTCTCACTAATGCCCAGAAAGGAGCCACTGATTAACGGATTTTTCCTACCGAATGTAGACTTTATGCATTCTGTATATGCTGTCATCCTTAAATCTCTTCCAGATCCCGGCCCCAGGTTACACTTTGAACAACTTAAACACAGACAGGAGAGATCAAGCCTGGCCACATGGGAAGATGGGAGGTTTGCACAGCAAAGATATTGCCAGAATTATTTCTTAAGTACAGCAGTGTTCTTTTCAAACAGTGCCTCTGGGTCGTCCTGGCCACTTGGCAGAATTTTGCTTTTTCTGACAAGAGCACAAGGGATTTAATGGTGGACCAGGACTTAATGGTGGTTGTGATTCCTGGCTCTCTACTTCTGAGCTGCCCTTTGAGCACATTCTTTGATATGGGATGAGCCTCGGGGCTGGTTTTAAGCCAGGGTTGCCTCCTTCTGTGACGGGAATGGAGCCTGATTAGAAGTCAACCTTGGTGAACAAACATGAGCGGAAACTTTCTCAGGAACCCTAAACTTCAATTATGGCACAAAAAATGTCCTTCCTGTAGTCTCTCAGAGGCCAGGACGGCATACCGCTTACCTTCTAAGGGAGTTCGTTAGTAGTGGTTTTCATACTATGGCACCACTTTCACTGTTTCGAGTTTCTCCTGCATTAACATGAGCCCAGCTGGGGCCTTTTCTTGGGGTTAACTATGATGGCCATTGCTGCTGCAGGTATGGTGGGCGATGCTGAGGGGGCTGCCCACTGCCCCCCCTGGGAAACCGTGTGCTGGTTTGGATTGCTGCCACCTATGTTAGGTTGGGGGTTTCTTTAGCATGGAGCCTGGCTTGATGTGGCTCTCAAACCAAGACTCTGAAGGGCATGCCTTTTCACTGAGAACCGACACTTATCTAGTTGCCCATGGGCCTTTGCTGTGGCTGTTTTTCAGGCATCAACGTCGGCCCTGTGGTGGCTGGAGTGATCGGTGCTCGCAGGCCCCAGTATGACATCTGGGGAAACACAGTCAATGTGGCCAGTCGGATGGACAGCACGGGGGTCCAAGGGAGAATCCAGGTAAATCACCCAGAAATCCCAGACACAGGTACCCATTCATCAGGAGAGGAAACTGAGGCAGCAGGGATCTCAGGTGAGCCTTGGGCCTGTGGCCAATAAGTGGTAGGACAGAGGAAGCTGAGCATCTTGTTGACTGCTGGGGTCCTGGGCAACACTGCTTAGCCTGGCTTTGATATTTGATTTTTTTTTTTTTTCATGCATCATCAGGGCCACTCCTGAGTGAGCAGATGTAAACTTGTCGATCACAGTGATCGGGATCACTAAGTGGCCTGGCAGCCTGGTTTCTCGGTTTTAAAACTGTGGTCACATTGGGGGCACACACCTTTAGTCCCAGCACTTGGGAGGCAGAAGCACATAGATCTCTGTGAATTTGAGGTCAGCGTGATCTAGAGAGTGAGTTCTGGGACAGCCAGACCTGTCCAAAACTCATGGTCACCATTTTGCTGTCCGTGGAGCATAGGAAGGAGGAGATGTTTCTCATGTGTTTGAAGAGCAGGATGGCAGACAGGCCCACTGCTTCCGCAGAGCTTCACTCAGGGCAAGACTTGATACTTTGATCAGATACATTGTAGCGGCCACTGGAAGGTGGTTTCTGATTTTCATCAGTGTGTGTTTGGGGGGGAGGGATGTCTCAGCTTTTAGTATTTTCCCCTAGAATAACATGAGACCTGCCATTTAGATGTAGCTCTCTGGGTTGAACAGAGCTTATAAAGGGTGCCCTGGCCTCCTGCCACCCACCAGGGAACTGCAGCCTTCCAGGGTTCTGGAGGCATATCCTTATCATTCTGGCGCACTGTCCCCAGTTTCGGGACCTGTAGGAACAGAGCAGTGAACACAGGACGCTTGAGAGGTACCGGGCTGTGGTTAGGCCACTGCCACAGAGAGGGTTTTCTGACTTCATAGTTATTATGGAGTTGTGTCTCATTGGGCATTGACCCTTGGGCTCACCATAAAGTCTCCACATCCCACAGGCTGTGAGGCACAGCTGTGAAGTGTCCCAGAGTCTAATTCTAGCACCATGTTCCAGTGTCCGCTAGCAGTTCTGCATTTTGGCATCGATGGCATTCCTTTACTTTTTCTTCCCGGATTTCTTCTGCCGTGGTAAAATGTACACAGAGCACACCGTCTTCACCCTTTCCCTGCACAGCTTTGTGCACTGAGCATCCCCATAGAGGTCGTGTAGTAGGTAGGATGTCGTCACCTGGAGAATACCCTTACACGTCCCTGCAGCCCGCCGCCCTCCTCCTGGTCATGCCCAAGGGAGGCTTCCTGGCCCCTGAGCTTTTGCTGCTGTAGAAAAATGTCCTGGCAAAAGCAACTCAGTGGAGAAAGGGTTTATTTTAGCTCACAGTTCTAGGTTGTGGGCCTTAAAACATCTGCATGAAAGTCTAGGGAGGTGGAGGAGACAGGAAGATCTGGATTCTTTGTTCTAAACACAAGTTGGTGTTTGACAGAAAAGGCTCATATTTGACATCTCTTACATGGCTGCTCGTTTCCACGTGGAGTGCCACTCTCCCCGGCTCTGCCACCGTGTGAGAAGGTAGCTGGAGACAGTTTTGTTGTTTGAACATAAAATGGAGGGGGGCAGAGGTGAAGCCAGGAGACAAGGAGGTGTGGAACCTTCCCTGCGACCTGGGAAATTTCACCCTTCATCTTTTCTCTGGTTTGGGGAAGCAGAGATTCTGGGAGCCGGGACACTGGTGTGAAGCTTGAGAAAAGAGGAGCTAAGAGATGGCCATTTTCTCTTAGCTTTCTTTGTCTTCTGTGCTTTGACCCCCTACCAAAGGCTCCACTTAGTAGCTGCACCTCCAACCCCAGTCACTAAGGGAACCAGTCCCTTAGTGCTGCAGTGCTCAGCTACCTTGCTGAGCTATCTGGAGCCCCAAGCCAGAGAGCCTGCCCCTCTGTCTTTGACACTGGGGCTAGTCCCACATAGCCCCTAACTGATACACAAAGCAGCCACAATGGCTCGCCCAAGCCCTGCTGGGTTCCCGGCACCAGTTGCTCCCCCTTCCTAGCTATGGAGTAGCTTTGTCTAGGTCCTGCCATGGTTGAAGCCAGGATGAAAAGAGAGGTACAGGGAAGAAGGTACATTGCGGAGCTCCTACCCTCCAGGAGAAGCCCCTGTTATCCATGCTAAGAGTAATGTTGGCTTCTTTTCACTGGCAGGTGACCGAGGAAGTCCACCGGTTGCTGAAGAGGTGCTCATACCAGTTTGTGTGCAGAGGCAAAGTCAGCGTCAAGGGCAAGGGAGAGATGCTAACGTATTTTCTAGAAGGCAGGACTGATGGAAACAGTTCCCATAGCAGGTCCCTTCATGTGGAACGAAGGGTATTTTCTTACGGGAGAGGCGGAGGCCAGGCCAGACGGCCTCCACTGTGTCCTGCAGCTGGACCTCCAATCAGACCAGGGCTCCCCCCAGCTCCCACTAGCCAATACCTGCCATCCACAGCCGCAGGAAAGGAAGCCTAGTGGAGCCCATGGGCCACTGGAGATGCATGCAAGGCAAGAATGCTCCAGGGTGACACAAGCCACCATGGCTCTAGCCAGGACCAGCCAGAGGAGCGGTTGCCACGTGGCTGGTCTGGAGAAGAAGCATTGTCTAGTGTGTGGCCTAAGGCCAAGGAGAGTGGTGCCCAAGGCACCCCTTGGGGCATACAGAGATCTGTCTCTTCCTAGTGACCTGGTCATGCCTGGCTAGTGTTGGCATTGGTGGTGGGACCTTGGGAATATCTTCCACGGTCATAGCAAAAGCTGCAGGGGTCCAGCTGGCAGAGGAGCCCACCATGACAAGTCAGCCTGGCTTATGGGTGGCTCTGGCCCTGGTAGGCCCTGGCTTATGGGTAACTGCAACCCTGGGTAGCAGCTTCAAGTATGAGTGCCAGACTGGGAAGTTGGCCCCGCTGGGCAGGGCCATGACAGTTGAGCTGTTCATACCATGGGCACAGCGTAGAGCTGGTCAGAGTCTTGGTCAGGACAGTCCAGGAAGAATTGAAAAGCCGCCTCTTGCTGCATGAGGAGTGAGATTGCCGGCTTTTCCTCAAGAGTAGGCTTTTGCCGACAGCCAGAGGCAGGTCTTCTGGGATTCTCAGGAGGCCCTGCAGCCCCACTTCCGTCCTCCTGGCCTGAACCCCCCCTGCCTGTTGGTTTCTGACTGCTGCGACAGCGGGCCTTCCTCTTCCTGTGCCATTACTGGGCATTCAGAGGAGAGGAGTGTGTGCTGCCTTGCCTTCTCTGTGGTGTCCTGGACACGTGCGTTCAACAAGAATCAAGCCTTCGTTCATGCTGAGAGTGATCGACCCACTACGCCCCCAAGCACGTTCCTTGCTGGAAGACATCATTTCTTAGGCATAACCAGCCCTCCTCTTGGGGGTTTCAGACATGGCAGTGTGTGCATTCCTGAGTCCAGGTGTGGGGTCCCTGCTACAGAGTGAAGGGAAAAAGTGTTCCTTTTGACAGACACCTGGGCCTCCCTCCTGTGCCCCCACGTGACTGCAGCCGAGATGAAACCCATGAGTGTGGGGGACAAGATTCTGGAAGAACTGGTAGGAAGCAATTGGCCACAGATAGCTGGATGAAACCTGCCTTCTGGAGATATTCAGCCCCATCCTCAAGAAGGGAGGCAGTTTCAAACAGGGCAGATGGACATGCCTCCATGCCTGCACCTGGCTGTAGAGGCCCATCTCCTATGGATCCCCAAGGGCTTCCCCCTTCCTAGGGTCCAGTCTTTCTTAGAATAGGGCAGAGCAAAGCCTATGCTCCCCATGGCAGGGCATACATATGGTGTCCCTAGCCCCCAACTCTGCTCTGGCTCAGGTGTGTGGCCATGTTGGGACCTGGGTAGCTTCACAGGTCAGCCAGCGCCTATCACTGGGAGACTTGAGGCGAGACTCGGGTCACATGTGGGTAGGAAGCAAGCTTCGAGCCAGGGAGAGCTGGAGGCTGCATGCAAAGTCTCCAAGTACCCGAGACTGTAGGCCGAGCTGAAGGTGCCCCATGGTTGGGGCGGGGCAGCTGTGAAGATTGCACATTCTAGTGGGCTCATCTGGAGCTTGTGGCTGGTGGTAATGAAACCCTCTGGCACCTTCTGCAGAGGAACTCTGATCTATACCCACCCTGCTTTGTTGCCTTTCTGATGCTATTGGGCAGTATGGTATGGCCATTGTTTGCTGCCTTTCTGTGACCCTGAGCCTGAGCTTGAACCCAGAGCCAGGGCCAGACTGACCTCAGCGATCCACTGCAGACTGTGGAGAGCAGGTAGCTTCTTCCCCTTCAGGTGGTCATGTCTGGTCCCTGTGGTTTGGTATTTTGGTGTAACAGTGTTGGGACAGTGCTGCCTCCAGTGTAGCTGAGGGCAAGAGGGGAGGCTTTTGGTTTTCCCCGATGGTCCCAGAGACCATCAGAGATTGCAGTTATAGGAAAGCTTCAGGCTGTTGGGGGTCTCTGAGAAGGGGCAGATTCATCTGAGCCAGAACCTGGCTGGGGCTTGCAAGTACTCACTCTTTGTGGCTCCTGCCTCCTGCCTGCTCCCATGTTTCCCTGTCCTTGGGACAAATGGCTTCTCCTCATGGGCTTCTCCTTTACTAGGACTTTCTCACCTGTCTGTCTGTCTTAAGCACATTTGAAGCAGTCAGCTCAGGCAGGAGCGCCTAAAGCCAAGTGAGTACATTGTGGTCCTGGCTCTACAGGCTGTGATGCTGTCCCTGGCCTCCTAGGCCATTGAGGAGGGCAGAGAACCTCTCACACAGCCTGGAGCTCCTCACAGTAACTTCTGGGCCTCAAGAACTACTGCCTCCCTGGGATGTCCAGGTTAGGGACAGAGGAGTGGTTCTCAAAGATACCCATGTGATAGCCCCAAGCCTTGTGTGTGTGTCCTTTGCCACAGTCAAGGAGCTTCACAGGGGGACTTAGGGTAGGTAGGTGCTAAAGGATGAGAAAGGACCCTAGACTGCACCAATGAGGTTCATGCAGACACATGGCTGCTCAGAAGTAGACGGATGGACAGGCTAGGAAAGCTATGTAGTGTGTTCAGGACTAAGTGCTCATTGTTGACTTGAAGGTTGAGGACATGAAACACACTGAAAGGTCCAGCCAGCGAAGAAACCAGGACGTCACTCCCACAACCGCAAGAAGCTGAGATTGGCAACAACCTGAGTAAGTAGCAGACAGACCATCAGAGCCATCAGCGTGGAGCCCAGCCCAGTGACACCTGGATCTAATCTACGAGACTCCGGACAGAGCCAGCCTAGGCCTGCAGCACTGCAGCCACTTGAGAGAGTGCAAAGTCGAGATCACATGGGTGCATGGGCAGAGCCACCTAAGGTGTGGTCCGAGCAAGAGAAAGCAACCTGAGAGGATGACATTGCCTTCTCCAGGCACAGAACCATTCTGAAGTAGACCACACAGGAGCCTCAGTTGGGTCTCTTCTTCAGGGGTGACATCTCCATCATCAGCAATTCCAAACCTGCCTACTTCCTGTGAGGTCAGGAACCACACGTGCAGCCATAATGTTCCTTGGGGTTTGGTGATAAACAACTCTCTCTTTTTATTTGTGATAAAAATGTATGATATTGCCTTATTTATTTTTATCTTGTACAGTATTCATGTACAAAATGTTAGAGCCATTTGGGTAGGATTCTCTCCAAATTATTTATTTTAAGATGCTCTGTAAATAGTGCACCAGTTACAGGTGCTTCCTGTTCACTTGTACCAAAAATGAGGAAAAGCCTGGCGCCCACTTCACCCCCTGCTTGTGACGCTGTGGCCCTTGGGAAATGACCCCTTTGTGTTCCCTTCCCAACCCTAGCATGCCTCCCGTGCCTGACACTGTAGAGTAGAACACAGCCCCAGAATGCTTCCAGATGCTTCCATGGGCTGTGCCAACCTGGGATGGTCCACTCCTGGAGTGTCCATACCTGCAGGTGTATGTCCCCATGCACCCAGCAACCCAGTTGTTTCTCAGACTCCAAAGCCACCAGGGCTTCCGGACCCCTCCTGTCATAGAAGCAATAACCATACTCGATACTGTAGAGGCAAGTCTGGCCCAAGCAGATTGATACTTCAGAAACTATCCATGCATACGAGCTTGCTGTAAAGGACTGACATTCCAGGCTCCACCCCTCCCAGAAGGCCCCGCTCTAGCTTCTTGGTTCCTAGGGACAGGTCTGGTACATATACCAGATAGCTGAGCAGACTCAGCCAGCCACCAGTCCTGGGCCTCAACACTATTGCTCACTAAGGAATAAAGGTGAGGGCAGCCATCCCATCCTGTGTCTGTGCCTAGCCTTGAGTTGTGATGCTTTATGTGACTGCGGGTAGGTAGTAATGACTTGACTCAGCGCTGTCGGCGTTTCAAGGTGCTCGTGGAAAGCCGTTTAAAGAAAAGCACATATTCAAGGTGGCACCTCTCCCCTTTCTCAGCGCAGTCTTGGTGGGAGAAGAGCCCTGGATTAGAGAGGGGGCTCCTGAGGATCTAACAGGAAATGAGCCCTGATTAGCATAGAGGATTCAGGCTGTGGGCTTGGCTGGCAGATGTGGATGGCCTTCAGGGTTCACAGTGTATTTATGTGAGGACTCTTGAGGCAGCAGAGTTTAACAGCAGCCTGCAGAGACTGTGTAAATGACTCACTTTAATGGGCCAGGTGAGAAAGGAACAGTTTGAATTGTGGAATCAGGGAAGGTTTCACTCAATTCTTCCAGCCCCCAGCAAGGTAAATTCTAGGGCTCTCCCAAGTCCCAGGGATCTTGTTCATAGCCTATACAGAGCTTCAGTCAATGGTATGGGGGGGATTTACAGAGCAAGTGTGTACCCTTCACAGTGAGTGTAATGGTGGCAGGGAAGGAGGGTTCATACAAACACTGCTGCAGAAGTGATGCTGGTCTCTTACATCCCTAAGTGACTGCATGCACATAACCACCGGAAACTGACTTGCTCATGGTTTTCAAAGACTTCAACTTTTATAGAGTGTGTTTGGCTTATTAAAATTCATGAGCAAGTCTGGCAGCTTGGATGTTACGTGGGTCCTGTTATCTCACTTCTCTGGCTGTGATTGGCGTTGTATGTATGTATGTATGTATGTATGTATGTATGTATGTATGTATGTATGTATGTATGTGTATGTATGTATGTTGTAAAAATGTCTAGTGGGCTTGAACCAAAAGCTCTTCATTTCCATGTACAGCTGCAGGCTTGGCAGTAGGTCAGTGGTTAAAAAAGTTGTGTGTGTGTGTGTGTGTGTGTGGTAGGGAATCCCAGAGTTAGTTTGTATTCCTGGCTCCTTAGGCTGGGGGTTGGAGAAGCTGCTTGGGGTGGACTTCAGGGATCTTTTTGGCGATGCCATGGGACCTGGAGTTCAGAAGGCAAAATTGGAGCTGCCCTCAGCTGGCCGAGAATAGAAAGGTAATCTCCTTGTCTCGGGCAGAAGGAGGCCTCAACCCAGGAGATGTTCACAGATGAGATGAATATGGTAGAAATGGAGGCTCTTTGGCCCTAAGCAACTCCTGGTGTCTATGTGCTCAACCAGCGCCACATGGACTGAGACCAGTGTGGATCCAGAGACACAGGCCTAGAGCCCAGGAGCCTTCCTGGGGGAAGGGAGATGGTGTGTGGCCTGGACAGAGGATACCCTCCTGGGGCAGAACTGAAGGGCATATTCAGGGAGGCTCCTGCTGCTCACTGGAAGGAAAATTCTGAGGAGTTGGGTGATCTGGGGTGGCCTAGCCCACTGCTGGCTGCTGTACAAGGTGTTCTTTCTGCCTGGAGGCCATCTGTGCTGCTCTATGGACTGGAGGCAAGGAGGGTGTGTCATCAGCTGTTTCACAGGGTCTCGTACGCAGCGAGTCGGGCAAGACAGGTGTGTTGGCAGCCTCCAGGATCTGCCTCACTTCCAAAGACTCAGAGGGCACTTTGGAATGTATCTGGGATCCCCGACCTTGCCCCGTGAGTTCACTCCTTGAAAAGGCAGGCAAAAATAGGCTATGAGCTTTTGTCATTCTGTGGTCCATTCTACAAACACTTCAGATCCAACTTCAAGTGCCACATCCTGTCACTGAACAATTATCTAATCGACAGGTCCTTATGAAATGACCAAGACGTTTGGACCTTTAAGTTTTCTTACCATCTTGATCCATTCTGTTCCACACATACCAGATCTGTTCAGTAGCTTGAACAGCAACAGCAGCAAACTATTCCGCTGGAGGCCCCACTTAGTTTAAATCAATGTGTGTTCCTGTGCATGTGTGTAAACATGTATGTGTGTCTTCTACAACATACAATTATTCTTCCAGGATTAGGATGACTTGCTGAAGGAACGGAGTTAAGTTTGAATACTGTTAGCTGACTGTCATTTGGGACACTAAATACCCCTGCACCTGCCAGCACCTTCCCGGGGGGTGGGGTGGGCACATGTCCCTGGGCCACGGTCCCTAAGGACTGCTAAGTCTCTTTTGCAAAAGGACCTCTATAATTGCATCGTTCTGGTTCAGGTACATCAAGAAACTGTTGCTCCTATTTCATTTGTCTTACTGGTTTGAGTGTTTGGGTGCGTGTGGAGTCCTGCGCAGAGATGGCAGGTAAGCGTCTATCAGAACTCTGAGGAAGGAGCACAGTGCCATCAACCTCAGGTGCATGAGCCTTCCCCTGCTCTCCAAGGCACAGGAGCAGATGTTAAGGCTATGCCTTCTACCTGGTGTGTCCGCCACTGCCTATCTGGGCTGTACATCAGGAAGAACAAGATTCACGAGTCTGTCTTGGGTTATGGTTCATAAGTGGCTGGAAAAAAAATGTCTTAAAATTGAGAAAATGGACCACAGTTATGCCACATACTCTGTCCTGACATGTGTTAGTCATTTAAAATCTAATGAACATACGGAGTTTTCTTCTTTTGGGAGCCTTTGGTATGAGGGTAAATTGATCAAACATCCATTACTGGAACTCCCATCCAGCTTTGCAATTCCTGGGTACCCTCCGTGGGCTCCACATCCATGAAGTTCTCTGTAGAGCAAGTGGTTGATAGTACTTAATACACGTTGTTCTGAGACTACAACCCAGAGAGGGAAGGGCCAGGCCTCAAGTCTCCAACTGTTCTAGCTAAGATGTGTGTTTTCTGTTACCGTTATGGTCTCTGCTAAGCAAAGTGAAATCTGGAAGAAGTGGGTTGGTGCTGATGCTCTTGTCTGTACAGCAGTGCCTGCTGTGCTGAGGGCGCCTCTCGGAGGCTGGTCCCTTGTGGGCAAGGCTTGCTCGCACCCAATTTTGGAGCATGTGGCCAAGTGCTATTCAGTTCTGTAGTCCTTGGCTTCTTGTTGCTAAATTGGGGCCATTTGATTGCCTTCCCATCAGCTGCATTCGTTTAAACTTGCAGATAACCAGCAAGAAATTAGAACACCTGGCTTCAGCTTTGTAGTGTCCTTGGGTATTTTAAAACTTTTTGAAACAAAAATAGTCATAGTGTCTAGTGAAATCCTCTTAAACCGCTTCTTTCTGAAAGGCCTGACATCAAGTAGGGACAGGGCTATGGCACTCCTGTAGGACACAAGCCACATACTCTTTCTCCCCTTCACCCAGCCAGCCTGGCTGTAGTCACAGCTCTTACTGTCCGTGCTCTACAACCATTTCTATCATATGCTTTGGGCAGGCACAGCAGTGAGGATGCCTTCCCAGGAATTAAAGGGGAGTTTAGAGAGAGTTTCCCAGAAGTGCATAGAAAGCAAGAAAGGGATGATGATGGATGGCAAGAAGCATGGCAGCCTCCCGAGTATGGGATACCCACATGCCTTCCAAGCATTGGTTCCTGCTGATGCCAGGCAACATTCAGTTCTGATACACTGGTTTCCAAATACTTCCAGCCACTCGCTAAGAACTGGTGTTTCAGTGGAGATGCTATCTGAGACTGACTGCAGAGATCTCTTGGATTTGATGAATTTGTAGGGCTGCCTGCATGAACAGTTGCAGGCCGCTAGATCTGCCTGGGGGTGGTGACCCCCGCTCCAGCTCCATGGCACTGCAACGGGAAGTGGGCCTGCCAGCAGACAGAACTTGTTTCTCACCTCCCACCAGCAACCTCCACTCAGTCCCAGACCCCAGGCACATGAAGCACAAGTCTCAGGGGACCGTTCCCATGCTGTGGGGAGCTCAAGGAAGCCCCCAGCATCTCTTGCATACACCACTGGCAGTGTGGCACAACTGGCCACCGGGGGCACACATGCCCGGGGAGGCCTGCTATGTTGCCTTTGTCCCTTTTAAAATTGAGTATATGCAAGCCATTTGCACTATGGAATTGCATGCCATGAAATTCCTAATTGTGTGCACCTTAGTTTGAATATGACATTATGTAGCATGCACAAAAGAACGGATGGGCTTGGGCTTGTCCTCCAGTCACTCTTACTGCTTGTTGGGAGCACAGCATTCCTCTCAGCCAATCCCAGGTTTTGCGGAGCCCGTGTGACTCCAGCATTCACTATCCAGTGTCTCCCCCTTCAGCCCATGCTTCCTTTCCCGTCATCCTCTCACTTAAGCTGATTGCTCACCAATTTGCACAAATGGGAATGTTGTTATGATCATTATCTTAGCAGTAATTTCATCTTGATTTTAAGTAAGCCCAAAGCCCGCTTCTGGATTTAAAAAAAAAAAAAAAAAAAAGGCATGTAAGCACCTGTGTCCTGTGTTTATCAAGAAAGCTTTGAGTCCCTTAGTGGGATGGAGGGTGCATGGACAAAGGGGGCATTTTCTCCCACACGATAAATTCACCAGATGTGTCCGTAGCTATGAGAACGCAATGATTATATTCACAATAACAATATCACTGGGTAACCTCTCACAATAGATTTGTATAATCAATACGGGTCTATTTTTATGTCAACTCTGTAGGGCACCTTCCAGTCTTTTTCAAGATTGTTAAATTGAGACAAGTAATTGAATAATTTGTCCTATTTTTATTTAAAAAGTGAATGGACTGAAATGTTAATGTGAATGTACATTTCTTAACTGCAACTTTTCTACTGAGTGTTTGCACTATACTCTCTGGAGTCTTATCTAACAAAAAATAAAGGAGAAAAATTGCTTGAGTAAACTCTGGCCAGTTTCTTTGAAAGACAAATGGTTGTCTTTGAAGTCATTCCTGACTCTTTTCATCAGAGTGGGAGGTTATTATTCAAAATGTCACATACCACATGGCCCCTGGGTGAGGAAAGCCATGTTCATTTTTATGCCACCACTCCTTTACCTTTCTCACGTGGATTTAAGTCCTGGACTTCTGTAAATCTCACAGTTCAGATAGTTCTTAGTCAGACAATGTTTGAATGTTAATATGGACTCCGTGCTTCTTTCAGTCTGGGGTATTCTGTCAGTAAGGTTATTTCTTGGATCTTTCAGAAGCTCCTCTACCTGATAAGTTTTTTGTTTTATTCTCTGTGAAGTCTCTCATTGCCTCTGTAAGTGCTAGGCAAGTGCTCCGCCCCTTCCCTACATCCCCAGTGTCATTTGCCCCTTCTTAAAAGATAAAAAGTCACCTGAGCACAGAACTAAACTGGTGACAGGCTTCTTTTAAAAGTTGAGAAATATTAACTCATCCCAGGTTAGCAGAATGTTGAGGGATCACGTCCGCAGTCACGATGCCACTGAGGCATTTGTTTTTCCTTTTAGAGGGACAGGAGCGGGAGGGAGGGGAGGTGGGGGTGGGGTGGTGTGTACTCTGGTATCAGGGAGACTTGGGAAAACAAAACTGAAGGGACTGGCTCACATGACTGCAGCTGGCATGTCTGAAGCTGAGCATGCTGGGAGACTGAGGAGGAGCTTAGTTTTCAGCTTACATCTGACTGTATGAGGCCATTGTCACTGTGGCAGGTCACCTGCTTTACCCTAAGTCTTTTGCAAATGTAAATACCTTCACAGCAACATTTGTATGGAGTCTGGACAGACTATTGTAGTGTGGCCTAATCAGACTGACCCAGAATTAACTATCAACATATGCGATGTGTAGTTTTCCTCTTTTAATTAAAGACTGCCACTTTCATGTCAAATAAAATTGTGTCCTAGCAAAAGGATATATTTTTAAGTTATGGAATGAATACTCCATTAGATTAAAAAGCAACAAAACAACAAAGGGCATATGCAAAATCATGGAAAGTCTGAGACTAAGAAATCCAAGCTGCTGGAAACGTCATCAGCAGAACTATCAATGAGAGGAACACGACTTGAAGGCAATACCATGCCATATGTAACACCAGGTCGGTGTTTTTAGAAAGGTAATGAATGTAGCATTGCACATCCGCAGTGAGATCACACTTCTTCACTTGCTCACAGGAAGTCTTCACTTGGTAAAATGTCACAGGGACCACAAGGTGGAGTGGTATGGTTTTTCGTGTGGTAAAATCCACCCCAGGATTCTAGCGATAGAGAGCAATTGTACCAATCCTAGTTGTCCCCCTCCTCCAGGACTTCATTGTGCTGTTGATAGTGATGAACAACTGGGAATAGATTGTGGTAGGCAAAATTCTAAGATGACCCTCCACCAAGAGGGACTTGTAACAGCATGCTACGAGAATGAGAGACTCCACTCTCATCTCTTGTGACGGTATGCTGTGCCGCTCCTAACTGTGCCAGGGGTTATACCGTCTGAAACATGGACCTCCCATGTTTTGTCTGGCTGGTGGCCGGAGGATAAGCTGCAGAGAGCTGAAGGCTGATGGGTTCTATCCAGCCGTTAGTGGCTTAGAAGTTTAGCTAGCTGCATGACCGGGAGAAGAGGGTCAGCATCTCAGAGCAGAGAGGCTCTCTTCTGGCAGCCAGCAAGAGAAGGAAATCTCAGACTACAACTGTAGGCAAACAGACTGGAAGGACTAGCTTTCCCTGGGGCCCTGGAGCAGGGGCTAACCTGGGCTTCAGTTCTGCTGAACACAGTTAAATCACTCTCAGTGTTTGTGTTGGCAGTTTTTTTTAAAAAAGCACAGCTTTTCAAAAGTTTTTATGTCCTCAGACTTTGAGGACATAATTCTAAGTTCTTAGAATCTTCCCAGCTATCTTGAAAATAGGGCTATAAGCCCTAAAGAGCCTTCACTCTACCCACAGAGCTCAGAGCTGTAATGCTTCTTGCTCTCTTCCTGAGTGTCCCAGCCTCCAAGTCTTGTCTGAAAGCTATGATGCTAGTAGGCATACCTGATGCCATGACTGCTAGCTACTGCTGAAGGCAACAGCCCTAGCAATAAGCCCTAGTGCATGGAAAATGGCCTCCGGCTTCTACAGCGTGCAGCAATAGGCCTTGGCTTGGAGTTAGTTGGTTGTCTGTCCATATTAAAGGTGCTTCCCCTTGTCTACCCATGATTCTACCAGGGTAATGCAGAAAGACCCCAGCCAATTACAGGTAACCCGAGGAATGGAATCAGCCAACATGAACAAACCTGGAGGTAGATTTCTGTCCAGCAATTCTAGGTAAGAAATTACCTCAATCTCACCTCAAGAGAGCCCTGAGAGGACCACAGCTGAACTACCAGAGCAGGGATGTGATAAAAGGGTGTGTTTGTGAGCCATTGTGTTTATAACATTCAGCCATGGGAAATGACAAGGCAGCAAGAAGTACTCGCCTAACTGGTTTTTAATCAGAACAAACTCCACAGGGAAACTCAAACCTGACGGGCATATCATAGGATTAGAAATTAGTTCTTTAACGATACTCCATGCAAAATGGGTGCTAGTATTGAGGCACTGTGTGGAGAGAAGTGTGATTGCACAAGATAGAGGGAAAGACCTCTTGGCGACTGAGGGTACTGCAAGTTGGAACAGCTGGGAAGCAGAATGGGTTCTATTTTCCTTGTAGGTTTTAGGACCTCTGTGCTGCAAAACATGGTCTTACAGACTCAAATAATCCATTCTTACCTCGAAGCAACCATTGTTGGCATCATCCCCAAGGACCATTACTCATCAATTCTCACAGTTAACTTAGGGATCCTGTTGCCTGAACAGCCTGAGCTAGCAGCACCAGCCTCACACGTCTCAGTCTGGGAATGCTCCATCTCCGGCTCTCAGTTTCTCTCAAGCCAAGGCCTCCTTGCAACCCAGAGAGTGTCAGAGTACAAAGGGGATGTTGCTCTAGCTGAATGGCCTATCGGTGTCTTGTTGCAGACAGAGTGTGGACTATTTACACGGCCTTATCCTCCCAAATGGAACATTTTAAATAACCTTTAAAAATATTTGTTTGTATGTGAGAGCATGAGCAGGTATTTTAGGTCAGAGGACAATTTGTAGGAGTCAGTTCTCTCACTGTATAGACTCCAGGGATCAAACTCAGGTTGTCAGACTTGACAGCAAGCACCGTTACCCCACTGAGCCATCTTGCCAGCCCCAAGGATGACATTTTAATCACTTCGGCTGGAGCCTGTGAGTAAAGTATGCCACAACTAGACAAGTACACAACAATCCAGAAAGAACAACATAAATATCCAGGAAACAATCTGTCACCTAAGCCCTTCCTCTGGTGCCGACAATTCTTTCTTTCAAGAACACAGTGCCCCAAACTGCTTCTCTGAACTTGTTCTGTATTTGAATTTCAGTCTTTAAAAAGTGAGGTTGAAATAGAATTCTCTTGGCCCTATATCTGAATTGATTTGCATTCCAGCACAAACTTTGGAAATAGTTCTCATGAAAAGAGTTTATTTTTAATAACGAAGATTGGAAGGACTTTTCTCTGATGCATTCAATCTCCATGTCACACAGTTCTAATCAGGTTTTAAAAATAGTACCCTGTCTTATTTGAAAAAATTAATAAAGCTCTGACACTTTCACAAGACTGCTTTTATAGCCAGATAATTACACAAATGAAAATAGAGACTTAGTAGGCAGTGGCTTGTAAAGCATGCAGATGTTTAAATATAAAGTAAGCGATCACCTATAGAGAACATCATATCACGTGAAATCCGAAGTTGCCCTGCACAGTTGCAGCTGCTGGAGGTGCACAGTTGCAGCTTCTTGTTTGCAGTCCTGGAGGCAGACAATGAAACCTGTTACCTGTGGCTACAAGCAGACGGCCCTAGACCTTACATACTCTAGACTTTATTATGCCCTATTCCTTTATCAGGGCTTTCTCCGTGTCATTCCACCATAGCACCAACCTTTTATCTGCAGCCAACCACTGCCCTACTGTGGACAGAACAGGTGGGAGGTGGGATAGACTGCATTGGAAATATAAACATCCATCCATCCATCTATCTATCCATGTATCCATGTACATTTTTTAGCAAGACAACAGCAAACATTCCTAAGACTAAAAAGGATCTCTGTATTTAAGTGGCCATATCATGTCCGCACAAAGAGGTCAGCCTGAGAGCACCTGGAGGCAGTCCGATGTTAGCCGAAGCTCCACGGTGCCCATCTTGTACCTTCTTCCTTATGCTGTCTGGAATGGGGGTGGCCACCACCCAGGGCTGGGATACTTAATGGAGACAGAACGTGGGGAGAAAGTGGAGAGGGTAGCTACCCAGGCTCTATTCCCCTTGCTCCATCCACAGAACAGCCTTGACATCTTTCCCGGTGTCTAGAAATCAGAGCTTTCTAATCATGCTGCCCTGAAGATGAGTAGGAAATCAATCCAAGATATTCTTGAGGGGACCCTAAACTGTGCTCTTTTCCAGTTTCTCCTATCCTCAAGAATTCACACTAGTCCTCTCTCGCCATCTGTACCAGCCATGGTTCCGTGTAGCAGATGACCTTCCTTTCCACTATAGGCCTAGTTGAGTCCCAAGGGAAAGCTCAGAACCTCCAGTCAAACCAAGCTTGTACCTGGCTTAGTATTTCAGGATCTCCCATCCCATTTCCTTCTGGTCTCACCTCACAAAAGCCTGAATGAAGTCAGCCCAAAGAATTAGGAAGTCCCCAGTGCACATGGCTTTTCCAGGGAAGAGGGAGCCGGGCCAGCAGCTGGGCCCATATGCTTTGTATTGCAGCTGATACCTTTTGTAATTTTTCAGATAAGGGAAACAAGGGTCAGAGGAGCATAGAGATTGTCCCTGAGGTCAAAGCCAGAGTGTAGAGGGCACAGAGCTCAGTCAGGCCCAGTGACCTTTACAGGTTGCAGAACAAAATCTCATTCTCTTTCAAACTGCCAACTCTGTTCCTTGGCATACTCCACCCTGACCCAGGCTGAGGCCATTCTTTCCATAGTTTGGATAGCAAGATCTGCTCCCACCTTACTCACCTGTGCCAGCTGGTGTGCATGAGTGGTGTAGACAAGGAAGTCATGCCAGGGTACCAGGGTCCTGAGCATCTACACTGACTGTGCTGATGTTGAATGGTTCCTGGGCTTGGTTGGGGATCCCAGTATTAGGGACACCTTCTTGGATGGTAAGCTCGTGATGAACTGCCTCCTCAATTTCCAGAAGCATCTGGGCCTCCCATTGCTGCAAGTGTCGCATCTGTGTAGAGAAAGACAGCAACCTGCAAAACTGTTCTCGCTATGGGCAACCAGTGTGCACTGTGTGCTTGGGAGGTTAGAGCCCAGCGGGCCTAGACTCCCATCCGGGTCTGAGACACCAGACAAACCCACAGGGTTCTCCCTGACTTCTGTGTTCCCCTGTGTGTGGAGAAGGGGTAGAGCCCAGACTCAGGCTTTCTCTTAGAGGTCAGCACCCGAGGCTTATCAGAGTGAAAGACCAAAATCTGCAAATGGTGGGTAGGAGCAAAGGGGCTGGCTGTACTGACTTCTGCTACCCTAGAGGTTAGCATCCTCAGGAGGGATACAGGGAAGAAACAAGCAGGAAGATCCCTCCTAAGCCTCTCTATGAAGCCCACACATGCTACAGGCTTCCACCAGTCAGTTAATAGGTGTTTGGAATTGGGGTCTGTTGACAGGAACTGGAAAGTGGGCAGATAACATGTTTTTGTTGTTTGAGATGGTCTCAGGCTGGCCTACTGCCTCTGCCTGCCAGTGCTGGGGTTACAGCTGTTCACCACACCTGGCCTAAACGTACATCTTCTTAGTGCTGTCTCTACTTTGGCCACTGTTCCTGCCAGGATGCTTTCTGGTACTCATCTGATCTTCAGGGCTCTGGTAAAGAGCGGCGCTGGCATCAGGAGAGGCAGAAGCACCTCAAAGAGAGGCAGGGGTGGGTGTGACTCATAACTCTGTGTGAGGGTGAGCCATTTGCGGTTAGGGAAGAGATGGGGCAGCTTAGCCAGCCCTGACCTAGGACCCTATGGTAACAGCATCCTGCTGTGTCTAGGCACAGTTCAAAGTGAAGTAAAGAATATAATGGCCCTTTAGGAGAACCTATGTAGTGATGTGGCAAATGGGACAATTTCTGCCTACAATTGCTCTCCCGAATCCTCGGTACCTGGAAGCCTGTGAGCTAGAGACCTGGGACAAGGACCAGCCAGAGCCTGCACTGGGGACAAGGCTTGCAGAGCCCAGGGCTGGGAGTCACGGTGTACATGGGCAGGGCAGCAGCATTCAAAGCATTGCTTCTGAGCAAGAAGCCGACAGCTGAGCATTGGGTGTCAGAAAAGCTGGGGGGCCTTGTGACCTCATAGGCTGTGGTGGGCACCCAAGCGCAGGGCCAGAGGAACTGAATGATGGAAGGTAAATGGCCCCATATGAAATCTGGAAGGCACACAGGGACCTGGAGCTCCCTGGGGACAGGGCTAAGTTGGGAGTCAGAAGACCTACTGCAGCTGCTTGTTTCTTTGGGTCCCGTCTCCTCTGCCAGGGACTGTCTGGAATCCCAGGCATCCCTGAGTTCCTTGGCCGGCTCGCTGCCCGCAGGGCCTCTGTCTTCTGAAGCTGCTCCTTGTTCGATGAGGCTGACACGCGTGGTTCTTCCCCTGCAGCTAGATGGTCTGAATGGGGCTCCACCTGCCCACTGGAACTCTCCAAGTCCTGAACAGTCGAAAGCCTTTTTCTGAAGGTGGCTGTGGGGCTGACCCCTACCAGCTGGGACACAGAGCCCTGGAAGGAATCTTCAGATATCAAGGACTGGTGGTGTTGGAAGGTCCTTCTTGAGGGCCTTGGGCTCCAGCCCATAGCCATCTCCTTGGGAGTGCTGTGAATGGCAGGTTTCTTCCAGTCTGGCCTCTTTTTCACTAGAGAAATGCTCAACTCAGGAACCTGGAGATAAAAACAAAAATCTGGGTCCTAGATAGTTGCACGATTTTCACAGGAAGAGAGTACACTGTTACTGAAGCACAACCACCCAGAGACACATATCCTAGTGACCCTAGAGAAGGGAACGTTAAGCACCCATGGCTGGAGACTTAAAGCACATACATGGTGGGACACTACATCCCTTACACTGATGGTTAATGACAGCACAGGGAGCAATAGTCAGAGATGGGTCACCAGGATAGGGTGGATAGGGTTGAAGCACAGAGAATGCTCTAGCAAACTGCCTATCTTGGGGGTTGGAGGATTGTTATATGTTATCAATGAAATAATTTCAACTCAGAAATCTCAGCCTAAAAAGACTAATGATGAACAGGGGAGGCCAGCTGGGCTGGTGGCTCCCTTGGGTGAAGGAGTCAAACAACTTTCACAGGGCTCACCTGTGACCGTTGGAAAACCAAGATATTTACATTATGATTCATGACAGCAGCAAAACGACAGTTTTGAAGTAGCAACAGAAATAACTTTATGGTTGTCGGTCTCCATAACATGAGGAAGTGTATTAAAGGGCCACCGCCTTAGGGAGGATGAGAACCACCGCTGTAGCTGATTGCTGGAGGTATGTGGGCCATGCTGTCATTGGTTATCATATGCCAATGCCAGTCATTTGGATTGAATTTCTCCTCCAAGATAAAACCTAGACTTAACAATATCCTGCATGCACACCCTTTGCTTAGACACTAATGACAGCTTCCCACAGCCTTCGTATCCACAGGCCCTGCATGAGTGGATTTAGCTGAGTGCCGGCAGAAAATAACCAAGACAAAAAAAAACACAAAAAAAAAAAAAAAAAAAACTGTTCAGTGTAGGTAATTTCCAAAGTAGCAGCATTCATGTGAGCACGCAGGGGCTTTCTTATGGTAATTCCGAACACAATGTGGTAATTTCTGTGGCATTTGAATCGTTCATGCTCTCTGTTATGAGGAAGCAAGGTACGGCCAGGTTATGCACAAACACTAGAGCATTTTCTGTAAGGAATTTGAGCATCAGCCAGTGGATTCTGGCATCTTGAAGAGAGTTTTGGAATTGATCATCTGAAATTAAACACATTTGTGTTTGCCATAGGGCATGCTTCTCTCCGCCACCTGACAATGCTTTCCGTGAAATGACCTGATAGCAACTAGCACTTTGTTTTCTGTACTGCTTGAGGATTTAGACAAACCCTTCATGCAGGCAGCACAACAGCATACCAACTGGGGTCAGCTTGATAGCAGTACTAGGTCGCCATTTTGCTATCGTCCACCTTTATGAAGCAATTTCTTGCATGTAATGTTTTGTAGTGAGAGCGGCAGTGTCCAAGGCAAGTATTGACAACCCCAAAATGCTAAAGAAGCCATTGTCACTCGGGGGTGAGAGGAACTGGAAGACTTCAAAAACTCTTGGAATTGGGGTCTGTGGATGTCGTAAATTTTTTTGTTTGTTTATTTAAGAAAACGAGTTTGACACTTGAGCCTGGACAGTCTGCTACCCACGGACAAAGCCTCCATCAGTAGGAACCCAGAGGGCTTCTACTTAGGAGCAGGGAGTGCCCCTGACTTCTCAGCAGTAGGCTGGGGAGACCTAGGAAGGAGCTGTCCAGAGCCGATCACAGCGTGTGGCGACGGGCTCCAGGCCAGCACGTGATGCTGTGACCCACCTAACGTAGAGCACACCCAGGGTCCGCAGCAGCTTCTCTCAGGATAGGATCTGCTGGGGGCCTACTTGGCAGGCAGCCTGAGAGCAATCTCCAGAACTGCGCACAGCATTCCACGGGACATCTCCCTCCACGTGCCACACTCTACTCCGAGCTCTTCCTCCCAGCAGCACCCCTCTATGCCTACCCGTGTGTCTGACTCCATCCTGTCTTTCCTCTGAAATGGGCGTGCTTGGGCTGTTACAGCACCTGGTTCTTGGGACTAGAGAGCTTAGAAATACGCTTGGCAATAGTTCCCACTCAGGCCTGGACAGGTGCATGTGAGCACACCTAATGACCTCGTGGCAGTGCAGTGCCAGGGTAATGTTCTCCTCACCCTGAGGGCTTTCACCTGGCTGGTTTCTTCTTCACGTACTTGAGTATTACCTTAGAATATCTCTGAATTCCCATTAACACACTGTCAGGGCTGTCAGGGCACCCAACCCAGTAGAGACTCAAGACCTTTCCACATTCAGACAAGCCTAGAGCCACCAGAAAGTGCTAGAATCTCAAGTATGTCTGTGGCAGAGGATGCCTCCCTTCCCTTTCAGCTGTTCTCAGATTTGAGTTGCTAGCTCCCAGAGTACTGGTTCAGCTAAATTTCCGATTAAGCTCATCTGGGTGGGTCTCATAATGGAATCTCTAAGGGTTCTCAGAAGATGACAGTGAGTGGGGCCACAGTGTGGCCTCTACACCAGGTCATGAGAAACCCTGAGAATGGTAACTGAGTCACTCCCCACCTGCACCAACACTGGGTTCCCAAAGCAATCATTAAATACCTGAGGCAATTTGCATGGAAGTAATAAGCAGATTTTCAAAATATGCAAGCACAGCACACTAGTAAGCTCTGCATAGTGGAGCCCAGGTGCCTGGCTTTCCTGTTTCCCAGATTCACCTTGAAGTCTTTTTGTTTGGTTGGTGGTTGGTATAATGTTCTTTTGGAATGTATACACTTTACCCTTGTTCATTCAAATGCCGATTTCTCTCCCCCACTAGCTGGTTTCGATCTGGACATTGCATTGTGATGCTTGCTCTAAGCATCACCTGTCTCAGGTTTGTGTAAACATACCACCATTTGTTCTCTATATTGTCAATTAAACAACCACTCAATGCTGAGCAATGGAGAGGACAGGGATAGGGTGGGACATCCTGGTCTAGGAGGGAGAGAGAGGAAGCAGGAGGAGGGAAGGAGAATCCAGAGGAGAGGTCTTGGAACCATGTGGAGAGATAGACCAGACCTGGAATATGACTAAAAGTAAGTATAATGGGTGAAATCTAAACAGTAGGAAAATGTGGGGACTTGGAGGTTTAGGATGGAGTAACTATCGCCCACCATTGTGCCCTAGGTTAATTAAATAAATCCCAATCTCTGTGTGATGATTTGGGTATACATCTAATTTAGGACTAACCACTGATTGAGTAAAAGATATATCAATAGTAACTATTAATAACCACAACATTTTTTTTGAGATAGGGTTTCTTTGTGTAGCCTTGGCTATCCTGGACTTGCTTTGTAGACCATGCTGGCCTTGAACACACAGAGATCCAACCTGCCCCTGCCTCCCTGAGTGCTGGGATTATAGGCATGTGTCACCACTTAAGGCTTCACCTTGACTCTTCACAGGAATCTTCTTGCCCTTTAGTCCCCTGAGTTGCTGAGAATACTGGTGTATGCCACTGGGTCCAACTAATAATTTTTAAATATGCCCATCCTCCTGTATCCCAGATACTCTAGATATTTTGATGAAACTAACTTTTTGATTTTTTAAGGTTTTTTGGGGTGGGGGGTTGGAACAGGATCTCACTATGTTGCCTTGGCTGGCCTGGAACTCCGTATGCTGGGGTTTAAAGACCTGTGACACCACTGGGCATGCATCTCTTTTTGAATATTCCTTTCTTTAGGTCTATCCTGATTTGCTCTGTCTTTCCTGGCTGTGTGCATGGCATCTAGTTGGGCACTTAAAAATGACACACCCTGAATCTAAGAGACAACTCAATCTGGTTGTCCCTGGCATGTTCAAGCAAGTAATATTGCTGGTTCAAAGTCAGGCATACTTTGAGGTTTATAGCGCATTAATGACAGATTGTACTCTCAAAGGGCTAGACCCCCGAGCCCCACCAGCAATAGAATGTCAGCCACACACAGCTGTGTGTGGCAAATTAGCCAGCTATGCTGTGCTATGTACAGGGCAGATGAGCCCTACTTAATCTCCTACCATTCCCCTTCTTGCTCTCTGAAGCCTCAGGAAGACCTGCCTTGAGGGCTCTTGGTCTCTCTTGTCATAGCTGCAGTCCCCAAAGGGTAGGAGTGCACACCACAGTCTCAGCTCTGGGCTGGTGCTGACTCCATGCAGTGTCCCACAGCTGTATTTTTCTCAGGATTTCAAATGGGGAAAGCCCTGACTTACCACTTTGTTTTCTTGAGAGAGGAGAGATGAAGAAAGTCACTCCACACCTTAGGGACAAACCTCAGGTAGGTATAGATCAGGCAACATTATTGAGGGTGGAAAGCACAGGCTCACCTCAGAAGTCCCAGGGTTTTAGCTTGGTGCTAAGTGCCCCCAAGTATCGAGCAGTGAACCCCACTCTCTGACCCCCTTCTCCCTCATTAAGCAGCAGATGATTCTCTTTGCTCTGGAAGGAACCAGGAAGTAGATGGTATTTAAGAACAACCTGCCACAGGTAAAGCCTGGATGGCCACTAGCTTCAGTTTTCACAATCACATTTGGTCTTTATGTAAATAATGTTTTGAAATTGCCTAAATGTGTTCTTCTGGGCTGTTTCCATTGAGAGGTTTTTAAGTTTTTGGCTGCTTGCTTTAGGAGCAGTGAGAGAAACATAGTAAAACTATTCTTCTGAGATGACGGAAGGAAGGAGGCAAGGAAGGGAGGGAAGGAAAAAGGAAGAGAGAAAGGAAGGGAGGGAACGAGGGAGGGAGGCAGAGAGGGAAGTAGGAAAAAGGAAAGCTATATCACTTAGTTTACATTTCCCTGAAAAGATCACGAGATGAGCACATACTCTTTTTAAACGGTGAAACTCCCTGTCTGAGTAACTCAGGTCTGGGCTTTCCTGGCCCCCACTCTCTGCTACCTGAGACTCTGCTATTGTGACTCAGTGATGTCTTACTGGACAGTCTTGAGCTCCTGACAGCACATGAGTTTCAGAAAAGCCACTGTGACTACCACAGGCCTTAACAGTCTAAGGCAACCATGAGGCAGAGCACATGGCAAGTTGTTTGTCACCAGTATGACACATGGCCCCAGAACTAGCCATC